CCGCGTGGTACACCACCCACCGAAGTGGGCCTCATCTCTGTGCGTTTCGGCTTCGCGCCTAACTGAACTGCCGGACGCTGATGAGCACCCCACCCCCCTCTTGGGCCACTGCCGGTCGTTTTCTTCTGAGTAAAAAAATATATCGATTCTTAAATCAATATGAAACAATACTTTAAATAATACACCCAGTTTTTAAATAAAGCCTCCAATTACGGGAACAAACCGGCGATGGCACATTTGTACTACTCTATAACATTTTTTTTAAATGGCTTATTAAATGTACCTCGAATTGCACAACCGTATTTCTCACGTTACCCTACTGCTGTCCTTGATATGCCTTATGAATTATGATTCTAGTCACACCCGTTAAACATAATTTATCATTATTATATGCAAATCCCTCTCGAGATAACAACCTTATGACGTCGAGATTATGAACCAATAAGTGACTATTTATAACCTGTATTACACCAAGGGTGCTATTTTAACTAAATTTTTCATTACTTTTATCACCTTCATATTTTTGTACCCCTAAATATATGTAGGTAGACCCTTCGGATAACCGAATATGTTCTTCAAATGTCAAGCATATATGTATTTATCATATCAGCGAAACGAATGGTATATATAAAATCAATCCAAATAATATTTAATTCCGTTTTTAGATTATGAATAAAATAACATATTATCGATCTTTAAACCTTGATGCATATAAAAACAGACAAACAGACACAAAGAAAAATTGGAATAATAAATGTTTTGGTTTCTACTAGACGTAAGTATTCCTCCCTCCAGGTAAATTTCTAAGATATTAATTAAAATTCTAAGAAATCTATTGTTAACTGACACCTCGGGGTCTCCGCGGTCGTGGAGGGACTAACAAAGAGATATATTCAATATACCTTTTTACTTTTCATATGTTTTTCTCATTCTAGGATTCATTAAATATTTAAGGTAAGGTTTTTTACATCTCAAGGCTTGCAAAACAAGTACACTCTTATTTCATTCATATATATTTGTAATCATGTGTTCAACATTCCGACTTGATTGGTACCGGACCGGAAAGGACACGTACGAATGGTGAGAGAGCGGTAGGACCGACTGCTGTACGTTTTGTCCAAGGCATGAACGCAAAACGATGTCATATGCTCATCTCTTACTGACAAGTTCTAAGGTTCTAAGGTTTGAATACTACTGGACTAATGACAATCGTAGGAAATATTAAAAATAATATTAAACTAGTTTTTATGTGCATCTTTAGCCACACATATATTTTTTCGCTTTTCCTTTCTCAACTTAGTAAAATACATAAGCTTATATAACTTATAAAGAAATCACGCACCAGTGACCTGAACTTAAAGTACACTATGAAAAATAGCACCTTAGACCTACTCAACTACTTCTGACTCTATAAAGTTTTTTTTATAAATCAGGTTAATTAGCACTGGCATGACAAAGGATTTTTCTGCAATCTGCCCTTTTTACTTACTGATGTGGCCAATGACACAATAATTTATTACAATCCATTCCATTAATAAAATATCTCTAATTTTAGTAAACACCTTATTCCGTTTCATTGATATTATGGTTTTAGTAAGTTTCTAAGTTACATTTATGGCCATAATAAGCTATTACGATCTTTAAATGAACCATTACAACAGCGAAGTCATTTAATTTTATTTAAAATATTGGAAGACTTTTTCTTCCATATGGCTTCATAGTTGCTAATTTGTTCATCATCTGTTTGAATGTATACAGAACATTGTACTTTTCAATGATCAGAAAAGTTGTTTTTTTATATAAAACTAGCGACTTACCCTCGTTAGTATATATAGGTATAAAATAAACAGTTCTGAACTTTTCGATTTTCTAGCTGTTTTTTTTGGGCTTACCCTTTTTTATACTTATAAAAACTTTTTAACAAAAAAATAAAAACCGACTTCAAACAAAAGCACTAAAAAGTAAAAAATAACTGATTGGTAGTTTCAAATCGGTCTAATCAAATATTTTGAGTCGGTTTTTGCGATACTAACGAATGGATGGATTATACATATGTATATATATATATATATATATATATATATATATTATATATATATATATATATATATATATATATATATACAGTTAAATTATAATATATATGGTGATTAAAATTATCAAGTGCGTGAAATAACAAAACATAAAAGATCAACATCTTAGATTAAAATCTTTAATGGTTCATGAATTTATTGCCATCGTTTCTCTTCGGTTAGTTCGGTATAAATTAGATTTTCGCTGTTGCATTTTCAATTTATCGAATTGTTTCATTTGTTGTTTCTTCATAAATTGAGTTAATCAATTTTATTAATCAGTTATTGCTTTAGCAAGAATAATTTAATAAGTTATTTTCATTTAATTTAACATTTTGTTTACAAATAAATATTTAGCATTTCTCTGAATATTATAGTTTTTATTAATGTATCTCAAATCACAAAAGATTATCTACAATGTGTCGATAATAGAGACAGTGTACATAAGATCTTTTACCGCCCATACAAAGCGATTGTATTCTAATAAACAAAGATATGGCTTCAAATACAGAAATGTGAGATAAATTATTATTGTTATCTTGCCGTGATAATTACAGGCAGCTGATCAATATCTGAGTAGGGTAAGGAATTAATCAACGTCCATCCCATACGGGATGGCATGTCCATAGGAGTCGATAGACTTACATACATATGATGTCCTCCTGTACACGTGAAGTTATAGTTGAATAATTGAGTCAACTTTTTAAAACATATATTTTATTTACGAAAACAATAAAAATTCGTTAAATCTGTTTAATCTTAGGTACTAAAATATTTATAACAACAGAAAAATATTTGCCTGAGTTACTAAATATCCATACTAATATTATAAATGTGAAAGTGTGTTTGTTGTTTATTTGTTCGTTTGCGGCTTACTTTTTACTGTGGGAGATCATGACAGTAATTCCTACGGTAAAACACGTTATAATATAATTCAAAAAATGCTCATCAATACAATTAAATAAATAAGTGTTTTAGCATTATTCCAAATTCATCCCATAGGGGAGTAAGACATTGGATAAGAGTTTCTATGAAACCTACCTTTTTAGAGATTTTTTTGTAGTTTAGCGCGAGCGAAGCCGCGGGTTCTGCTAGTACTTAATATGTTTTACGATAAATTATTTTTTCTTTACTAAAACCACCTAAAGAGCACCTTTATGGTATAATGGTACGTCTTTTGGCTCAAAATTAAAACGGGTTCACATGTTACGGTTTTACCATAACAGTTATCGTGTAACATACTCGTATTATGGTGGTATTGACACTCTATGGCAAAATGTGAAACAGTAAAATAACCAGTTCGTTTATTCAGCTAACCACATAGAGAAGCTTTTCTGGTAACCACATCGTGTGAACGGAAAATGTCAGTGTCAACACAAAATTACACAATTTTCCACAACTGATTTACAAGCCGTTTACCGAATCATCGAACTGAATTAAAAAAACATGTTAACGTGAACACGTGTATATTATTTTTGCCGATACGGCACACCGTGCACGGAAATTGATTCGGTAAAATAGTATAGGTATGATGAACCCGCTCTTACAATACATTCACATTAACAAGTAGCAAACCTACGTCACATGTGACATTAACAGACTTGCAATTCGAAACTATTATTTATATACAAATTTTATCTTATTATTCATCCATCCGTCCGCGTGTCCTACATTTAAAAAGTTGTGTCTTTTGAACAGTAGATACTAATAGTGGGTTGTTTTCAGAATTCTTTTCTCGTTCTGTCCTAAATACAATTAGTCTAAAATCCCAATCTAGGTGGTGGACCCCTCATTCATTTTCCAGACGAAATATATTTTTTTAGACCATAAAACATATTAACAAACACGACCAATGTCACCAAAATTTTCTCCAGGTTATTTTTAATTAAAAAAAACGTGTGTGTGTACTTATGTACGCAAGTAAGAAGTTATACTTCTTTGGCGTAACAGAACAAAAATAGCTAAAGATTTAATCCCGTATGTCACATCTCTTTGTTTGTAAAACGAAAATAATAAAAAAAATGCAATTAAATTAAAACAAATCAATAATTAAATAAGGCATATATTTATAGAATATCATTTAAGGAAAGTATAATAGTAAGTAGTATAATGTGAACCGTGCGTGTTAATACGTTTTATGGTTAAAAAAAAACGTCTGGAAAAAGAGTGAGGGATCCCTCACATAGAACGAGATCGCCTACTAAATATAGTATATGAGTGTCATACTTTCTCCTAGTAAGCTATATAGACATGCGGCGATCACAATAGACCAGAAATGGTCGCAGTGATACCAAATAGCCGCAAAAATAGAAATAAAAAAAAAAGCTATATAGACATAGCATATAGACAGTAAATAATAAAAGCTGGATAATTTTAAGTCAAATTATTTTAGGGATTTCTTTCCTTATTTAGTATACACTACAGTCATATTCTATTACAAAATAAATAGCAAATATTTTATGCGGTGCATCAAAAACATTTGTCGGCGAGTTTGATTTGTATTCCACCGATTTAATTTATAAAAGATATTTTAGTACGTCGCTACGACTATATTATCTTTTATTGCTATATTTTTAATTGATATTAAAATTAAAAAGAACCAATCTTATTAGTAAGAGACCATTTCAAAAATATAACAAAAAAAATTGTAACTGGTAAATTATGAACCATCTTAAAAAATAGGAAAAAAACTCAATTCATTCGATATTTAAACGTTTTTTTGTGTAAAAATTCTTGACTTTATTTAATTAACAGTTTATATAAATCTGTATAAATAAGGAAAATATCCATGTCAAGAAGTAGAATATTTATTTTTATTGACGAAGTCGTCGATATAGCTTTTAACTAAAAAAATATTATTCTATAATAATTTTAATGTCAAAAATATCAAAAACGTACAGTTTTGAACCAGAAAAAATAATAATTTTAATCTATAATAGTGATGTCTTCTAAAGGCGCCTTTGCTAGAAACTTCTTAACGTTTCTAAATGTCTTTTTAGAAACAACGTCCAATACTGGTTTCCCGAACTCGAGAGTAACATCTTTTGAGTTATCATTAATAAATTTAAGCGTCGTTTCAGCTGAAAAAGAAATATTTAAATTAGTTACAGATTAGTTTAGCGAAGGTTTTGTATTTAAAATTACGTGATTATTAATTATTGGATAAGAATATCTTAGTCGTAATAAGAATATTATCTAGAATGTCAATTTCTGTAATACCTTAAAAATTATATATGCGAAAAAATTACCTCGTTCTATGGATCCTTTTACTACGTAAAATGGATATACCGACAAACATTTACAGATTAAGGATATCAATTACAATTAAGTATATGTTGTTATTAAGAATTTCTAACAATATAGTTAAGTTCAATTTGTACTTACACAATTCCTTATTTCCTCTAAAGAGATTCGTTAAGTTGTAGTGCGCGTCACCGATAGTAAATTCGTAAGAATTCTGCTTAACAGCAATATAAGTTTTATCATCTTTTTTCAGTAGGTCGTAATTCACCTTTGATCTAACCACAACATTTTCTGAAATTTTAAGAATTATTTATTATTTTGAAACTATTACATTTATTGATTGATCGATAAAATAACACGATAAAGAATACTTTTTATTGTAATTATAACGTACTGCACAGCAAGTGAAATTGCATTTTAAATACTGCCTACAACGTCAAAAATTATGAATTGATCCTCATATTATTATTTGTATCAAGAATATATTATATTACTTAGCTCAACACGAATTTTGACTTTGTTAAGAAACTATGAAATTTCGATAGATTTATCGATAAGTTAGACAAAAAATATATATGGCCTGAAAAAGTTTGCTTTTGTATCTAGGTGAAAGTTTGATCAATATTTTAGAAAATCTATTGTTTTTCTGTCCATCATTTTTATTTATAAAATTGAAACAAATGTATTTATATATTACGGATGCCGATGGCTTTGATATTATGTTATCGCGATTCTCGTCCGCCATGGTCAGTGTGCTCGTGCGGCACAGTAGAGTGTTCACAGTTCAGTTCTTTGCAATAAAGCGAGTTCACTCGCACTACTAACTCATGTCATAAATTATTCCCTGTCAAACGCTATTGTGCCGTGCCGTCATTCAACTACCCTCAGAATACTGTATTTTTACGGAACATGGCAACACAAGTAATTTTTAATATCGTATCAAATTACAAAAAATTACAAAATAGTACTTTTTCTTTCATGTTTATAAAGTACTTCCTCTCACTGAGCCCCAAATCCTATCATATTTTCGTAGTATTGGTCCCGATAACGGTGTTCTAAGTCCATGATATCTTGATGAAAACATTCTTCTCGTTCTTCTGAATTGAATGAATTCGCAGTATTTTAAAAACATTGTGATTTTTTTAAAATGATAGCTCAAGAAAAAGGATTTACGTATTATCATTACTACCACAAATCCAAATTTTTAAGGAAAATGGGTATTTTTCCTTTATTTTAAATCATAATGAATAAAAATCGTAAAATAAATTTTAAGGATAAAGACAATTTCTTTTTTTATAGAGTTGTGTTATACATTATATGGTATCAAGCATGGCTTTAGCTGTGCAATTATTGATATTTAGTAGCGAAAGAGAATTGTGACCACGTTTGGAATAGTTTGTCTTGGTTGAGTCATCCTAGGGCCCCTTTTTTTTAGTGTTGGGAAATGCATTTACGCATTCCACCTGTAGACATACAAGTGGTTATGTGGGACTCACCGGCTAGGAAGTACCAGGAGCAACCCGCATGGTATACAGCCCAACGAAGCGGGCCACCTCCCTGTGCATTTCTTGGCGTAGCGCCCGGCCAAACTGCTGGAAGCTAATAAGCCCCCCAAACCACGGCTAGGTGAACGCAAGTTGGCGAAGATCCTGGGACCCTACGTTATGCCAATTTTCCCAGTGTTTGCTCAGATTATTTGGCGCTTATTGTAAATTTTCACAAAAAAAAGTAATAAAATTGTGTATAAATTACTTACGCAGTCTTATTTCAATATCACCTTCACCTTGAACAGGAAGAGTCAAAATTTTCCCGTCAGTGTTATAACGCCCCGTGAGTATATATAATGGAACATGATAATCGACTGTTATTGTTTTCTTGCTTGTGTCAAATCTAAAGATACAAAAGAATAATTTAATAAAAGTAAATAATTTCGGTCATGATTATTACTTTTACTAAATTCCACTCTATCTTTTAAATGGAGTTTATAATAATTATCCCACGACTTGCACTATTTTTTTTTTCTTCGTTATAGAGTATAGAGTATCATTGCGACCATTCCTGGTCTATTGTGATCGCCGCATATTGAACTAGAACACTGCATCCTGTGATATATATGACAGGATTTGCTTATATTTTGTATGACTTGCACTATAGGATAACCCACTTTAGACTAACACGTCTTTTGATTCATCGAATAGTTCACGAGGCTCATCACACCTATGATAGAAGGAACATAAAATAACAAGACACTCGTAGAAGGGCATATATAACGTCACTTCTTAAACTCAAATCATAAAAAAGTGAACTACCGCTTTACAATAATAAGGTAATTTTGTTTTTTCTTCGCAAGTACATCTCAAGTAGAGCTTATCATTGATTAGGTACAAGGTTTTATTTAACTTGCAATGTTTGTATGAATGTTTGTTCAGATCAAATCTTGCAACTGAATTTGAAAACAGATATCCTCAACCGATTGAGCTGAAATTTTGGATACACGTTTAGTTTAGATAACAATGCATGGTTAGATAAGTGACGTCATTCTAGATCCAACATGGCGGCCTATATTTTTTGCACCCTCATGATATGGATATCAAATGAAGGGGTTGGCTGAGAAGAATACGAATAAATACCTAAAAAATAAAAAATAAACTTAAAGTTAAATCAAACCTATTTATTAAATTACACAATTCATTATATGGTATAAAAGCTTGTTTTTAAAAATGTTTTTTTTATATTAAGTAATTAATTTATAATCACTTTTAATTAGTTACAAGGTTTGTTATAAAACGTAATTTGTTCCACGTGCATGTTTATTATTATCTAAACGAGTCTATTAAATAATTATGTACAATGTTGTAGCGCTATTTTGCGTTAATTTGAATATATCATGCGAAGTTATGAACTAATAAGCAATTGCTACTCTCTAGCATTAACTCCATAATACTTACTCGTGTTTACATAAAATAGCATTTTGTCCTACAATTTACTAGATTACATACTAACTTAGACGTCTAAAGTAATGATCCAGTGACAAATATAAGTAATACGAGTATGGCCTAAGAACCTGTGAACGCCAGACCTTCGTCATTTTATAAAAGCTGAAAGTTTGTCAGCGCATGCTCCCAACACAGATAAGAACGATGGACTATTATGAAGTTCAGGCTATGGTGGCTTTGGCAGGTACACGGTACTAAAGGTGTGTAAAATACCGATCTAAATTCGTCAAATAGTAAATAGTAAAGACAATGTTAATCTTATAAATTTTTTTGTAAAGGTAATATTAATATTGTTGCGGATTATCCTGCATAGCGCATTTAAATAAAAATTTACTAACAACTTTGCATCTAATTAAACATATTAAGTTTCTTTATATAAGTTGTTCTATTTTTATTTTAAACTTTTATTTATTTTTTTGATCTTGTCGCCATATAACTACCATCTCTAGAAACAAATATATAATTTAAGAATAAGAATATAATAATAATAGTGTAAAATATAAAATTACTTACTTCGTTTTATCTAATATAATATCCTTATCGCCTTTTAGTCGGGCATCCTTCAATGTGAGTTTCAGGCCCGTGATTTCGAACTTAACATTATCTATAACCATTTCATCCATAACTTCAACACCATATTCAGGAATACCTTGAACGAACCTTGGGAGGGCTAACCGAAAAGATGTAAGTAAACATTCTTCATCTTCCAGGTGACATTTTTTGAATCCTAACTCGGACAGTTCTGCAAAAACACGCTTTTGTTATTCTTTTAAAAAAAATATTTTATTAAAAATAAACATAATATTCCTTCTTTTTTATTTATATAATTTTTTCATTAATCAATATCAAGAATCCAATAATTAAATGTGTGATCACCAGTATAAATTTTCATATGTAGATGCACAAGATATCATTAAAATATTCAAAACCATTAACCTTAGGAAAACTTGTGATTTGTGGAGCATGTCTGTTAAATTACTCAACTCAATAATAACTTGCATTGCGCCACATTTAAAACCTCATTTTTAATGTGTACATTACTTTCTAAATGTGTAGATTATGGAACTTTCCCTGATCTTATGAAATTTAGTAAAATAATACCCCTTTTTAAAAGCGGAGATAAAAATGATCCTGGCAGTTATAGACCTATTTCTACATTGCCATCTATGCGTAAAATTTTTGAAAAACTTAGGTATTCTAAACCAATTATTAGTTCATTTAATATAAATAGTATCTTCCATAGTAAACAGTATGGTTTTACCAGAGGTAGGCCTACAGCCGATGCGGACTTGCTCTTTTTAAACACATTTATAACACTTGGGAAAATTCACAAAATGCAGGTGGTGGTTTTTGTGATTTATCTAAGGCCATTCTACTGCGTAGAAAATGAAACCCTCCTGCTTAAACTAAGTCATTATGGTGGTCGTGGCAATGCTCTTGATCTCATTGCTTCATATCTTAGTGGTAGGGTTCAGAAAGTCGTGTAAGTAACGTTAATTCTTCTGGATCCCCTTCGAGAATGGATATTCCGCAGGGATCTATTTTGGGTCCATTTTTGTTTCTTGTTTCTTCCTTTCTATGCTAACAAATTGTGTGATATTGTACTGTTTGCGGATGATATCTCTATTATTTTTAAAGTTGATAGGAATATATACTGATTATCACAAAGTAAACTGCAATATCTCACATACTTAAATGGTTTAATATTCGTAATTTAGTATTAAACACCAAGAAAACTAAATGTATTCAATTTACCCTACCTAATGTAAGGAGACAGAATTTTAGTTTGCTTTTAAATAATGAGCCTTTTCGCCTACATAAAGTGAATAGATCGTTTATGGGGCAAGGTGTACGCATGTATAATAGAATTCCACAATCGATTTTCCCATTTAAGCAATTTAAGTCGAAAATTAAAAATATATTAGTGAATAAAGCTTATTATATCGTCACGGAATACTTCGTAGACGTCAATGTGTGGAATTAATGTCTGGTTGGGTCTCACAAATAATAAGTATATAACTATTGTATTATAATATTGTAAACAATTATTATTTTAAAAGAGCAACTGTTGAGTAGCTCATCTCAGCAGAACTGGCTTCGGAGCCGGTAGTAGATCCCTCACGGACTGACTGCACTGACATTTAATTTAATTTTAATGTAAAATTGACGTTTTAAAACTGCTTATAAAAGTCTATTTGAATAAGGTATATTTTTATTTGATTTATAAATATGCTGGGACATTAACACACAGTACCATCTAGTTTTATGGTAAATGTGTTATGGATACCAGATAATTGATACACTACAAATATATAACTTTAAATAAATACATATTATAAATATAAACACCCATGACTGGAGTACAAAATTCGTGCTCATCACACAAAGGACGGCTCAAGGCTCCCACAAGGGTGCCCCCAGCGGGACACGAACCCGCGACAGCTGGCATAGCAAGTAGAGTTACTACAAACCGAGCCAAACATGTCGTTAATAATAATTATAAAAATAAATTGATATAAATATATTGAATAGAGATAAATATATTTTATTTCCTTAGATTTATTAAGTAAAAGTATCCTTTTGTACGAGACATAAATATTAATTACTAATAAATATATCAATTAATTATTGATTAATGAATTAATATCACATATGAAACCCGCTAAACAGAGTCAAAACACATATCTATTTGCATCACATATATATTTGGTATGATAGATATAATACAATGTAATAAATAGTCAAATATGTAGCAGAATAGTAAGCCATAACATGCAGCAGAATATTATAATAATTTTAATAACTTGTAGGTATTAATAAAACATTACCATATCTAATGAAATATGATCAAAGCTGAATTTTATTAATTTAAAAAAAAAAATTTTTTACAAAGATGTCAAAGAGTAAATGAAAGGAGTTAGTTGAAAATTAAGAAAAAACAAAAATGTTAAATAACAAACTAATTAAAGACAAGACAAACGACATAGACTTACTGACAGAAATAGATCAACAAAAATGGTGTTAAACTAGACACATGATTAAAAGCAAAAAAAAATATAATTATAGATAAGTGGAGCCAAATAATTACAAACTGCTATCCCAGAGATGGCAAGAGAAGTATAAGAAAACAAGTCAAAAGTTTGGAGAAATTAGAATGAGAGATGCATCAGCGTGGCTTTAAACAGGCACGCACATTGGAGGGAGCCAAACGAGGCCTTTGCCGAAATACTTAGATAAATATTGAATACAGATTACACGGATAAAGACAGAATTAAAATTGCACAAGTTTTGACCTCTGCAAGGCAAAAATGTATTGATAGCAGCTGCATCTCATAGTAGATACTATAGGATGTCAAAATCTTGGTGAAATATGTTATGCGATATCATCGTGTAAGAAAAATTAGGTAAGTACTCAATTTTTATAAATTTCAGTGTAATTTAACTGTTGTAACATTTACGGTATATTTACCTGTAGAAACATAATTTTTACATGGACCTTAGTAAAATTTGATATTTATATTCTGAAACACTTGTATTATATTTATTTTTCTTTGAATTAAATATATTACATTTTTATTACGTAATAAAAAGTTTTCATAGCTTTCTATTGAAAATAACTGATTAATAATTAATTATATTTAGCTTAGTGTATGGCTCTACTTAAAATATAATAATAAAAATATATAATTTATTTTTGGACATGGAAATGAAGTCAAGGATGAGATTAGGGTGCATACATAAATATATTTTAATGAAGTCGAATAATTTTAATGAAATGACTTACCAAACCCCTCGACAGCAACTAAAAATACGAAAATGTAACTGAAGCTACAAAGAACGATATGCATTTTTACTGAATATGCACTACGTAAAGCAAATTGTCATATAAGCACTACATTAAGGCTATTTCATCTTATATAGAACAGACTGGTTGCATAATATGTTCAAAGATATAGTTGTGTATATCCATCAAGGACATCTACAGGTTATTGAGCGCGCAATTTACAATAATAAAAATATTCTTGAATTAAATGTCAGTTTACTCGACTATGTGCATGACTACAATATAATTCTATTATTAACTAGCGACTCACCCTACTCACACAACAATTCAACTAACGTTTTAAGATTTCTGATAGATGAGATATTTTCCCGCAGTAAAAAGTATCATAAATGTTGACCCGGACAACCAACTATCATCATACCAAATTTCATCAAAATTTGTCTATTGGTTTTCTCTTGATGCGGTCACAGGCAGACAGACAGGCAGACAAAAATTCTAAAAAGTATAGATTTGGCCTCTTAATCAATAATAATGACCACTTCAATAAGATTCTTCAAAAAATATTCAATGTACAGATTTGACTCAGTTAGAATTTTACTATACCCGTCGCTTCGCTCGCGCTAAAACTACAAAAAACTCTAAAAAGGTAGGTTTCATACAAACTTTCATGCCTTATTTCACCCCCTTATGGGATGAATTTCGATAAATGCTAAAACACGTATTTATTTAATTGTACTGAAGAGCATTAATACCAAGTTTCAAGTAATTCTGATCAAAAATATTTTTTTGGGTTGTATTATAACGTGTTTTCCCATGTGAATGAGATAATCTCCCGCGGTAAAAAGTAGCCTATGTCACTCTCCAGCCCTCCAACTATCTCCACACCAAAAAAATCACGCCAATCCGTCGTTCCGTTTCCACGTGAAAGAAGGACAAACAAACAAACACACTAACAAATTTATAATATTAGTATGGATGTATATACATTAATGAGTCATCCTTTAATCGTCTCAGCAGATTTTAGTTTACCAACAAATAAAAATAGAAATAAATAAAAAAAAGAAAAATAGTAAAGACAATGAATGCTAATCTAGTAAAAAAATTGTAAAGGTAATATTAATATTGTTGCGGATTATCCTGCATAGCGCATTTAAATATATTTTCGTTATGTTAGATTTCAAATTAAAACGAAAACATTTTAAAATAAAGAAAATTAAAAAACTAGCGACCCAAGAAATCTAAGCCTTCTGAATTTTACAGATACTGTGTCTTGTAGTGTCTAATTTTTTTTGTCACCAAATTTGAAGCGCTAAGAATTGACATTTTTGACGAAAAAATGCTATTTAATTGCATTGAAGAACATTAATACCAAGTTTCAAGTAATTCTGATCATACATATTTTTCTGGGTTGTATTATAACGTGTTTTCCTTCGGGAATGAGATAATCTCCCGCAGTAAAAAGTAGCCTGTGTCACTCTCCAGCACTCCAACTATCTCCAAACAAAAAAACACGAAAGTCCACGAAGGACAAACAAAAAAAGAAAGAAAGAAAGAAACAAACAAACAAACAAACAAACAAACAAATTGTAATAGGTGTTTTATTTCATATGTAAAAGGCACTTTAACAAACCTACAATGTATAATGGAAATGTATTAAAAATATATGTATGTACATAGTATAATAGATACTTAATTAATATCGACGTCAACCAACGGCGCCAAAGGTCACAAGTTTAATCCACAAGGCGATATTTATGTTAGTCACTAGCTAAAATGAAAATATGAAGTTAAAAAGTAATATTCAGTACGGTAGAATTATTATTATTACGTTAAAAGTGTTATATAAAGTTAGGAACGATAACAATGTGAAATCGTCAGAAGCTATTCATTTCTAAAGAAACAAAACAAATGTGCTCTAAAATAAACAACCCGTGCTATATTATATTGAAATAAATTTCAAACTAGCTTTGCTTGTAACTTTCTATCTCTATTTCAACTTTCATTACTATCAATTTACAACTGTGAATCACGACACCCCTTTAATGCGCTTAGAACGGCGAACTCATTTCAATTGATTAAAATAGAACTTAGCTATATTTGTATGTACTTATACCACAGATCATATAACACTATACTTATACTAAATCTTATCAAATACAAGAGTTATAATATTAAAAATCATGTTTTCTGACAAAAGACAATCATTCTAAAACTCATATCGGCCATTGTCACATCTCAATCCTAAGGATGCACACAGTTTTAAAATCACGATTGAAAACTTAAAATTCAAAAATCTCGATTAAAAACATTTTAAATATTAAATATATATATATATATATATATATATATATATATATATATATATATATATATATTATTAAGGTCATCCAAAAACAACATTTTTGAAAAAAAAAGTTGAATTTCTACCATTATTAAGAAAGTTATGAGCAAAAAAACAAAAAAAGAGCTGTTTTGAACCATTGATCAAAAAAGTATCAAAATTTACCAAGAAGCCTTATTTGAGGGGTAATAAAAATACCTAAATATTAAAAATTCAAAACTAAAAATTTGGCGTGGAATGCCCCATATATACATACATATTATAAACATACAAATTCTAATATGAAATTATATATGGTACTTATAAAAAACACAGTTTTTATAATATTTGTCTCGCTAATCTTGTAGACGGCTGGACTCATTTTGACGAGACTTTCACTGGCAGGTAGCTGATGTTACAAAGGATAACTGAGGCTATTTTTATTTGCGAAAAACTATTAGGATTCCGCTTAACATTTAAGACTATTAGAACTAGACTAAGAATAAGATTAGTTTTAATATAAGACTAAAAAAATACCTAAAAAACCGATAAGGATTGTTTCGATAGGCAATTGACGTTAAAAATATGATTATAATACCACATTAATTAATTATATAATGCCTTATATCGGGTGATAATTAATAGGTTTGTACTTTTCCATTTTTATACTGTCTGTAAACATCTCTGTTTTATTCATTTTTATAACCTATGACGAATCGGAAAATAATAAAAAACTGCACTTATTGCTCTAGAACAGTCCACATCAAATTATTATAATTAGTATAAAAGTCGTCTACTTCTAGAAGTACATATTGACGTGTCTAGATTTTTGCCAATAATTTTTTGGTAGTCAGTATGACGCAATTCTCCGTCAGCGATATTATATATTATCTTTATCCATTTATTTATTATAAAAAAAGGGGCAAACGAGCAAACGATCCACCTGATGGTAAATGGCTATCGTCGCTCATGGACATCTGCAACACAAGAGGAGTTGCGAATGCGTTGCCGGCCTTTAAGGGACCTATAGACATTACTCTTGAAGAGCCCCATATTATAGCGCTCAGGGAATACCTCGGGAGGAAGATCATTCCACATCTTGTACATGCGAGGTAAAAATGATAGAGACGCATGTACATTTGTAGGATGCCAAGCATCTAAAATGTGTGGATGACATTCAACCCGACGGCGAAGGGTGCGATGATATAAGCGCGACGGTGGCACCATATCAAAAAGTTCATCAGAACACTCTCCATTTTATAGACGATAGAAAACACACACAGAGCCAACATCTCTTCATAACCATCCATCTATTTATATCAGCTTCTAAACATAAGTGATATTAGTTTCATCCCTTCAAAATAATAAACCCCTTCTCTCAACTTGATGTAACTCTGGAGCCATATTCTCCGAAATATCGATTGTAATTTGGAATTACTAAATGCATTTCCCTTTAGGAAATTGTGCAGCTTTTGGTACAGTGGCTTCTGCACGCAACGGAGAAAATTAAGATTAAGTGATAACCAATGCTGTACACTAACAAAAATAATAACAATAATTAATTAGTTGTGAGTATTATTTGTTGGGAGATATATTTTCGATTAATTAATTATATTTCTATGTATAAATAGGCAAAGACATAACAGTTTAGTTTTTTCGTCTGTTTGTGAACAGCTGCCTTTTTTTGCCAGTTTTTCTTATATAGATAGGTAAATTTCACCACACAACTTGCTTTCAACAATCTGTTAAATTCAAGTAAGCGAGTGATTAGCTCAACATAGCCTAATCCATAGGTGGGGGTGCCACTTCGGAGCCAACAGGCAGACTCGGTTTTATTCGAGTATCCTCCCTAGTGAGTAGATTCTGTTTTAAGGTGCAGAGTGATCGCCTTTCGCCCTGCATCCTCTGCTCATCTGCATCCCAAAGATGGCGGTCGCGCGGGAGCCTGGGTGCAGAAGACTCCAGGGGGACGAGCACGATCATCGCAAGTTGATGTAAATTTTAACCATATTAAATAATAATTATACTTAGTGCCTTGTAATTTAAATATTTAAATGGATTGTTCATTTTTGCTTACCGACTGGTACTGACTTATAGATATACAGATATAGATATCTGATTAGGTTATACGAGTACATCTATTATGAATAAAAATGCGCGTTATTTTTTCTTATGTTACATTTAATGTATTAAAGTTCATATTGAGATATGAGTGATATTTTTATACAATCATTATTAAAAAAATATTAGTTTGACACTGATTATATTATAATAAAATTTCACATAGGTACATATAAACTGTGTAACACTATAAAATATTTCATATTCAACAATTATATACCTAATTCTTATCTAGCAAGACCCATGAATTTATCAATATTTTACTAAAAACTTTAAAAACACTTGTTAGAATAGCACTAAAAATTACGCTCTCAAGCCGAAATCTAACGTTTTGACGACTTTCCAAACAAATCAAACAAATTCCAACCCGTTATCCATGTCCATCCATTCATCCTGGCTCTACCGTTGTCAAAATAATTATAATTAATCAAACACTTTTTAATCCCCAAACGAAATAAATAAGTTCATTATCACGAATCATGTAAGCTGTGAAATTTGACTATAATATAAAATTAAGATACTGTAGAACGTGTCAAGTAGTAAAGAAAGGACAAAAAAATTATATATACAATATATTTTTGTCGCTCACCTTATACGATTATTTTATAAAATATTTATACTTTCGGAATAAACTACATTATAAATATTTCTTCTAAGGGATGATGGCGCAGATAAGTTTTAACAGCATTGTAAACTTTATCTGCAGCTGTATCTAACATATTTTTTGCAAAATTTTGTGTAATCAGTATCCAATTTTCATTCAAGAAAGCGTGCATATTGTCACCTGAAATAAATATTTTAAAATGTTAAAAAGGCGGAATTATCAGATATCAGATTATAATATATTTATATAAGGGATATATATATATATATATATATATATATATATATATATATATATATATATATTACTACTACTATTTGAGATGTATACATATTGTGGGCCTACAGTTTGATAAAACATAGAAGACACGCTTGACCACGTAGCGTAACATAACGTCATACAAGAAAAAAATAGTACAATGATTAGTGCTAAAACTGAATTTGTAAATTACCGCTAAAATTTTAATTCGTTTAAAATGTTGATATTTTAATTTTTATACTGATAATTTTTGTTATTTTTAAGCAAGAATGTTGCGGTTTTAGGAGATTTCGTTATTCTATGAACAATGTCTATATCCTTAAACTTACTTTTCTTCTTATCTCCGTTGTATAAACCGGAGTATTCGTAGACCACGCGATCTCTTACATCAAATCCATAAAAATAAGCTTTTAAATCTAGGATATCCTTGCCATCAATTTTTGTAATATCAAAGAAAATCAGTGCATTGAAACGAATGTTTTCTGTAAAATAAATAAATGAGGGTTTCTGGTAGAGATCTCTTAAAGAGATAAGTCATCCTTTGTACACATGGTATCTGTTTTAACTTGTATGTTTTTTTCTGGTACATAGATAAATAAATAAAATAAAATGAAATGAAATAAAATAAAATAATTCTTTAATTTACTTAGTACCTACATAAATAAAATATGTATGCCCCTTATAACAAGTAAGAAAACCAAAGTTAAAATTTATCACGAAAAAACCACTTGACAGACTTTGAAGAAAAATTAAAAAATCCTTTTTTATGGTAGGGGAGCCCAAGAGGGGATTTTTGTAGTTACTCAAGCGCGGCAGATTAACATAAAAGAGGTTACCTTGCAAGGTACCTTCTATACTAATATTATAAAGAGGTAAAGTTTGTGAGTTGGTGACGTTTTAGGGGGAATCTCTGGATCTACTGAACCGATTTAGATGAAATTTGGTAAGAAGATAATTTAGACCCTGGGAAGGATCATAGGATACTTTTTATCCCGGAAATCATACCTTAAGATGGTGAAAATACGGATGAAAGTACTAACTTTCATTATAGAGAATCAATCTAGGGACGAATCCGAGTGAAGCGAGGGTGAGTCGCTAATAAAACATACATTATATATAATAAAACAGAAACTTAGCGAAATCTGTACATGAAATATTTTTTAAAAACAATCACTGTAACGTATTATGTATAGAATATAGACCCCAAAACTAATGTACACTTCACCTTTTCTTATTTTTTTAAATATATTTAAATCGTACCTAGGGACGCATCCGAGAAAAACGATGGTCACTAGTATTTTATAAAATACTTACTTCTAACTGTAGATGTCTTGCCAGATCCATATACCAGATTAGAAAATACGGCGCCATTTACTTCATAGTCAGAACGGTTGATCAAAGTTGTCCGAAACAAAACTTCTATCAATTTTAAGCGCATATTAAATCTGTTAAAAACAAATGTCTCAAATTAAAGCACACCATAACTTTTAGATATTGCTTGCTATATATTATGTATTATATATGTATTACATATTCTTACCTGAAACTCTCAACAGTCACATTTCTTAATCCTTCTAGTTCTACGTTGGTTACATTGTAATTTAGCCCAAGATTCGATGTGGACATATTACCCAGAAACATTTTATCCAATCTTTCAATTCCTAATTTTGGAATTCCATCCATTAAAGTATCCCAAAGTATGATAAATTTTGCTTTCAAACACTGTGAGTCCTCAAAGGAACATTTAGTTGGTTCTAAACATGAAGCTTAAAATAATAAACAATTAAGTAATATTGTAATTGAATTGTCTAATGTACAAAAACCAGCAAACCGTTAATACAGATTATTTAATCTTTTAGTTTTTTTTAGTTCGAACCTATAGTTTTTAGAATTTTTATCTGTCTATCTGTTTGTTTTTTATTCACAGAAAAACCACTGGAAGGATTTTGATGAAATTTGGTATGGTGATAGCTGGTTATCCGGGTCAACATATAAGATACTTTTTATAGCGGAAAAATATCTTATTTCTGAGAAAAAATACAAAACTGCAACTGTAATGTAAGAGTATACTAATATGTAAAACCTAAGAAGTAAGAATTTGGTTTTGGTCTTCTGAACGCGGACGGAGCCGCGGGCAATGCTAGTTTTAAATAAAACCTAAGAACAAATTCATAAAAACATATTATATAAATGAATTCTATTGCTACCCAGATCCCCCACACAAATTTAGAACTAACATATGAACATGATCTAGAAGGGCGGCGGAAGCACCCTACGTAAGCTGGTTGAGTAGAATAAAATAGTAAGAGAAAAAATAACGCCTGATAAAGAAACATAGCAATCACTATATCTCTGATTCGTTACAGTTTATCGATTTGGTTTCTTCTATAACAGACTTCTAATTCTGATCTATTTGTTTCAATTCTGGCAAATAAATAAAATATTCCAAAATGTAGCATACTTCAAGGATAATCGTAGTTTTTTAAACAATTCAAAAATACAAAACATGTCAATTAAATTAGAAAAAAATGTAAATTTAAGGTTTAAAATTTCCAAACTTATTTATTTTTTGCAAAAGTATAACACTCTAATCAATGAATTAAATGATGTGCTTGACATACGTAATCAGTTTCAATGTATGTAGTTCTTTATGGCTAATGCACAAGAAATGGAGAACAAATAAACTAATATTTAGATAAGATTTTAAAAAATATCAACAATTATTAGCTTCCGCTGTTATTATTTCTAGATTCTACATCTTGATTCAATATAAAAATTATATTATATACTTACATTTTCCTAAAATCAGCAAAAAATTAGCAAAAATGCACAGCACACCAATAGAAGATTTAGCCATTTTATTTTTGTATAAGCCAACAATACTCCTTAAAAATAATATGAAAACTGCGTCTAAAATAATTACACAGCATGTTTAAATAAGAATATTTTAGTTTTAAGGATTTCACTGCAGAAGGTTCGGAACCCCGCCTGACTGCGGAGATTACTTATTATGATTAATTATAATAATTAATCTGTTTAAACTTAAAATTCTAACTATTATTTTAGTAGGTAGATTTTTTCCGTTTCCGTCGGAGCGTCGTGTTTTTGAGAGCGTAAACAAGCGTAAATCCCTTGGGTTTTAGTGAGTAGTACTGGCTTTTTAGGAAAGTGAGCCCCACGTAACCACCTGTATGTATGCAGGTGGATTCGTAAATGCATTTCCCAACTTAAAAAAGGAGTTTCGACCACAGCTAAAATAATCCCATTTTATTTGAAAATCCGTAAAACAAAATTTGAGATATGACTACGGAACTCTCAATACACGGATACAAGACGCTTGACCTTTTTTTGTTACGTTTGTTAACATTATAATTTTTAATTATTTCTCAGTATTTACATTATTTATTATCCACGTACATAATTTGAGAGATTTACATTCGTAGATTTCTCCTTGGACGTTTTCATATGGTATGTATTGAAATAATTGAACTGCCTCGGTGGTGTAGTGGCTAGCATGTACGGCTGCACACTCGGAGGTCCTGGGTTCGAGTCCCGGGTCGGGCCAAGTTTAGTTACTGAGTCTTTCTGTATAGTAAGTCTCAGTAACAGCCCGGAGTTGGGAAGTTGGCGGTTTTTCACCCCCGTGCCTCGGAGAGCACGTAAAGCCGTCGGTCCTGCGCCTTAACTCTCACTGGTCGTGTCGAGCAGTCGTCCCACCGGAGTATGAGAGTGACAGAAATAGAGAGTGCACTTGTGTCTGCGTGTACACTTGTGCACTATAATATCTCCTGCGCAGTTGGCAAGTCTCAATGAGATTGGCCACCGTAGCCGGAATCGGCTAGAAGAACATCATCATCATCATTGAAATAATTTATAACACCTAACTTATCGTTTTCATATCTTAATTGATGTCATCCAACATTTTATACCTATAAATCCTTTTCTTCTCAAAGACTACCAGAGCAAACTGAAAAGTTCTACCGCGATGATTGCTTACAACGATGAGCTTCTATTATAAATATGTATGTATAAATGATTTATGTGCACAACACATACATTTGACGACACGTTTGGCTCAGTGTGTAGTGACCCTACTTACTGTATCAGCAGTCGCGGCTTCGAGTCCCGCTGGAGGCATTCATTTGTGTGATGAGCACGAATGTTTGTACTCCAGTCATGAGTCTTTATATTTATAATATGTATGTATTTAAAGTTATATATGTGTTACTATCAATTATCTGGTGTCCATAACACAGGCCTCGTAGCTTACCATGGAACTAGATGGTGCTGTGTGTTAATGTCCCAACGTAAAAATTCGACAAAAAATATATAGGATATGTGCACATAGATACAATTTTATCTATCTATAAGCCCTTTTTAGGGCAACATAAGACCGTATTAATATCTCTTAACAGATAATATACTGTAGGTATATACATTTTAGATGGCACCGAAGAACCGATGTGATTGTAGAAAAAGCGTTTTGTAATAATGATACGTTGATGAGTGGGTGCAGAATATTAATCAGAAGACGATAAAATAAAAAAATAAATATTTAACCCTTTGCAGCACTACCTTTATTTAAGCCATTAACAAACCTAAAAATAATGCTGTATCTACTTCTAAATATGAACATATTTTGTTACGAAAAAATTATATAATAATATTAATAATAAAATAAGCATATAAAATATTTTATTACCTCCATTGCAAATTTATTTTATAAGATATATTTTAATTAATAAATTATTTAGTACGTAATGAATTCTTTTAATGGACGTGAACGTACATAAATTAGGATTGAATTAAATATTTTCATATTTATTAAATCAAGTGCAGATTTTCCAAATTCGATCGTCAACCATTTCCAATTCTGCTGTACAACCTTATGTAGTGTATTACCTGCAATTAGAAAATCATATATTAATCAACTATCTGGTATCCATAACACAAGCCACGTCGCTTACCATAGGACTAGATGGTGCCTTTTGTTAATGTCCCAACATATTTGTATTTGTTTATATACTGTATAATATTGCACAGTTTCCTCTAGCAGGTACAAATTTTAATTTTACGTACGTGGGAGTGCAATTATTCGACAAAAAATATTTTATGAGACATTATTCAATTTTGTTAATAAGAAATATCAGTAAAGTAAGGTTAGATATCTAGCTCAAGTACAATTTTTAACACAAAAAAAGCTTTACTTGTGTCTTATACGTTAAAGTAAGTACCTGCTGCCAGCGGCAGTACCTACGAGATGGTTTTTTTAGGTCACAATCAATAAATATAACGAACGCTTAAAATTTACTTACTGAGGCAAGGTACGAATAATATTAATTTTGGCTTCTATTTTATCCTGCACAATATCCCTTTAAAAAATATTTTTTTTATGTTACACTATAGCCTGATCCCCCTCGCATTGAAGGGAGGCCCAGACAGCAGTGGGACGTTAAAAGGAGCTGATAACATATGTACATAAGATATTTAAAACAATAATGGTTCTTACTTGCAGTTTTGTTGCCATAATAGAGATTTTCAAAATAAAATTGGGCACTATCCCTCACATCATACGTGTAATTAAAAGATTTTAGTACCATGATGTCATTGCCATGAGCGTCCTTAATGATTTCGAAGGGCATAATCAGATCTATAAGGCTGTTATCTGAAATGTATTTATAAAACATTAAATAGTTTATAGATATATTACCGTCGAGATATACTTGAATCATACTAAAGTTACGATGATGTTACTGCCTCTAGGTTAGGGCATTCTTAATTGTCTGTGGATCGAGAGAGAGGAAAAAGACCAACCAATAAGCCTGTTGCCGTCACGTTATACTATGACACTTAAGGCACTATATTGTTTCATTTTTTTTCTTATGTATTCTTCATCTATGCGAATTAGTTTCACCATATGCAGCTATTCAATGGTGATAATGATGTCATAAAAGTTCTACTCCCTTATTGCAATTTATTTTCAACATTAGCTCAGTCTAACGTACTAACGACGATGATGAGCTAACTAAAAACTTTAAAACATTGAATATCTACATACAAATTACATAGCTCAAAATCAGATCATAAACTAGAAATAGATAGACAAGAGTAAAGAGAAGAGTGCATTTATAATACTTTTAAATAAAAATACCACGCTTTAAACCAGACTAAATTTAATTAACCTGAGCCACAAAATTCCTGACCCCATATACTGGTTACCCTAATGGACAAACAAACATACCGATTTAATAAAATCATGGTAAGCTACGTAGGTACGTTTGTTATATTAAAGAGAAAGAACTTTATAAACAATTTCACATTTATAATAATAACAGGAACTTAAATATATTCAAACTAGATATACTTATTTTAAGTCACATATCGACATCGTGTTAAAATGTTTTTAGTAATCTAAACAAAAAGTAAAAAATATGACTTACTCAATTTCATTAAGAAGTTTCCTTTCCCTTCAATAGGCAAAGATAACAGGGTTCCATTGACTACATATTGACTTCTAAATGTAAGATTGGTATTGAATAGTATACGAAAGATTTTAGAATCCAAATCAATGCTGAAATAAATTATTCATGTATTTAACCCCTGATGCAAAAAAGACGGAATGTTATAAGTTTGACGTGTGTGTGTGTCTGTCTGTGGCATCGTAGCTCCCAAACGGATAAACCGATTTTGATTTTGTTTTTTTTTTGTTTGAAAGCTGAATTAGTCGGGAGCACAGATCATATAATATTAGTAGTCGGGAGTGCTCTTAGCTATGTTTGATAAAAATCGGTCCAAGATGGCAGGGGGGTTTTTAAATTTTTAATTTTAAAATTATTTATTATCTTTATGGAGAAAAGTAATTAAAATAAAACGTCTTAAAAGTTATAAACTTTTTATGATAAAAATTTCCATTATAAAAAAAATGTTAATTAATTGAACAGGTTGAATGAAATCTTAAGACATTAAATAACAAACCTGACGTCTTCAGTAACTAAATCCTTTAGTCCACTGACATAGATATTCCTAAAGTCTACTTTGTAATCGTTTTGGTTTATATGTAGAAAGTCCAAGAACATGGTATCCAATTTTTTTGTATTTAGTTGCTCATTGCCCCCAACTAGAGCAGTAAACATGTCGTGGATCTCTACAATTAAGCAGGCTGTATCCCGTACCCCACATACAAGTTGTGAAGGTGCTATAAAATAAAAAATAACTCAATAACAAATAACAGCAAATATTTTTAAGCATGAATAAATAAAAAACTTACTATTTCCGAAAATAGGTAAAAGCTTGAGTAAAAATAACCATGAACACAAAAATGCCCGCATGATGTTTCTTTCTCGATACTACTGATTATTTTGTATCAATAACCTCTCATTTATATAAAAAAATCTTTTGTAATTTTGACGTGAATATTTAAAATATAAAAAAAAATATAATATCATATTTTAATACAAGCAATATCCTGTCAATGAAATTTATAAAATAAAATAAAAAAATAACTTTATGTCTATTTGCTTTGATGGTTCGAGTTCTCCGTTATAATCGATTATAAAATCAATAAATTGTAATTACATAAATAAAACTTGATGACAGAAGATCGAATTTTCAAAAAATAATCATTTGCAAAACTAAAGCCACAGGCTATTAGAGTTTTTTTTATATATATAAGTTTTTTTTTGCAATGCCAATGTACATATTTGTTTACCATAGTAACTAAAAGTACTCGTATAATCTCATTCTTAACTTAAATAAATGTATTTAGGGAATAGTAGTTACAGACAGTTTGCTTCGCCGATGACAGGTCATTTGCATATTTTAATACATAATATTTAGACGTCAAAAGTCGCTTAATTTTTACTAATAATGTTAATTACAATATTAGGAAAAAATATGCTTTATTAATTGCGAATTTTCTGCCTACAAAAGAACTAGATAAATAAATGATATATTTTTTTAAATGTATTATTTTAATTATAAGAGGATCCGTATTAAAAAGTAAGCTTGTACTTTTACAGAAATATTTAATAAAAAAATAAACGTGAGCAATTCGGAAAATAAAATGAGTGATATAAAATGTAAATTGCCATACCTAAGACATTTTATTTTTGATCTTACATAAAGTTGTATATCTGGTCCGAAAACATGCCCCGGCTTGTTTTAAAATTTTATAAGCCATGCATTTTAAGTAATACTTTCTTAGATTTACGTGAATATTTAACATTTTAAATAAAACTATCTTTTTAGATTATTTCGCGGATTTATTTTGATTTTTGGTTCCCGACGTTTCGAATGCTTTACAGCATTCATGGTCACGGGAGAGACTAAGGGGTTAGATGTCTCGAAGGTATAGTTGTTACAGACAGATAGAACCTTTGTGCCATTACCAACATTCCACCATTTTCAGGGTTTTGTAGTCAACAAGGAACCCTTATAGTTTCGCCATGTCCGTCCGTCCGTCTATCCGCAGCTTAGCTTAGAGGCCCTTAAGTAATGTTAGTTCTGTAATTTGGCGTTGATATATTATGTAAATATTAGTCACGCCGACAAAATGGTAGTAGTGTAAAACAGGGAATAAATATAAGTTTATGAACCATGTAAAAATAAACCAAAATAAAGTCAAAACATCGTTACAAAAAGCCCTCTTAGTCCGCATTATTGTGATGGGCAACTACGGAACCCTACATTGCGCATGGCCCGACACGCATTTTAATTAAAAAATGAAATCATTGCCTATTTATATCTGTCAGTTGCATCAAAAAAAGATTACATACTTCTCATATACGCGATATTTGCCAGAGAATATCTCGGAACCGTGACACTGATATTATTTCGTGTACCGCTACTTTAAAAAGAAAGTGGTGGCGGGCTACTAATACTAGCTTCAAAAAAAATATTCCAAACCAGTATTAGTCTTTAAAATAGGCTTTGAGAGATGAACGGCTACAAACTCAAATAATCCTGTGAAAAAAAAAACATTTTTTGATGAATTAAAGGGAACCTAAAAAATAACAGCCATTGCAGGGATCAGAATCACTAAGCTAATGGAGTCGTCATAAAAATAAGCAAATAATAATATTATTTTCGTGTTGAAGGTTATCCATTTTACATTTCACGTTGATTTGATAACGATTTGTTTTATTTCTGACTTTTAACAATTAAATAAATTGTGTATTTTTTCCTTCAAACGTAGTAGGACATATTTAATATTTGATCATGTGATGGTAAGTCTGATGAAAATATTTTTCCCACCCAGTAAAAGCTTTGTAAAGCTGGCAGCGAAATATATGTGGGATTTTGTAGATAAAAGTCAGTGTGCTTTAATTTGTATCGGCTATCATCAACTTCCAAAATATCTGATTAGGTATATATTAAATAATGAATGAAAACCCCCGTTTAGTTATTTTTTTACTTTTTAGTGCCTGGAAGTCAATTTTAATTTTTTTTTAAGTTTTATTTTTCAATTTTATGTGTAGAAGTAATAAGCAAGTAATTTGTACGAAAAAAGTTTTTAATAACATATTCGACTAAGCCATTTATTTAAAAATAATTTAATGTTGATTTTTTTTAAATCGCTTGACGTATTTCGATAAAAATAAAATGGGACCTGGGAAGTATCATCAGTATCATCGGTTAAGCGTCTTCAAGTAATCGGTGAACATACATAAAAAAAAGATTCCGACGAATTAAGAACCTCCTACTTTTTGGAAGTCGGTTGAAAATAAGCAAGAATCACCGTGCGGAAGACCATATCCGGGTTTTAATATTAAAGTTAAATTATTAAGCAACACTATTGCTACTTTTATTTTATGCATTAAAATATCAAACTGAATTATTATTATAATTTTAAAAATTTTACAATTAACCTCAACAAATATTGTATAGTACTTAATACTTTGGTGTCATTTTTGAATTTTTAAAATCATTTTGTAAAATTGTGACAAGGCACTGTCTGTAAAAGTATATAACGCCTTTGAGATATCTAAAACCTTAGTCTCTCCCGTGGCCATGATTGCTGTAAAGCATTCGAAACGACGGGAGCCAAAAATCAAAATAAATCCGCGAAATAATCCGAAAAGATAGTATTATTTAAAATGTAATATTACGAGTACATAATAACTTTTGGATACGTTAGAAACTTAAAATGCACCTAAATATTATAAAACGTAAAACATATAAAAGTTTAAAGTACAAATAACGGGAGTTTTTGTTAGATTTTTCGGCAAAGCGAAAGCGCAATATCGTTTTAAGTTTATAGTTCTTGTAATTAAATATAAAATCCTTTTGTCTGTTTGGAAATTATCAGAAGTCTTATAAGATAATAGAGAGCTGGGAAAACCATTTGGGAAGCCGAGTGCCCTGTTTAAGTTTATAATATAATACACCGTAAGTGCATACGTCATTATATAACTATTCTTAACCATTTCCCTGTCCCATGAGTCATATATGAACATTTCGGTTGTTAAACTATTGTGTCTATTTTGCGGACAGTTGTTACATATCAGCTACTTATTATACTTAATGGGTGAAAAATATAGAAAAACTCATTTTTACTATGGATGTTACTTTTAATTAGATTTAGGTACGTCATACATAACATCTTATAATTATCATGTCTGGCCTTTTTTTTCGTAACTACTAAAAAATTTAATTGTATTTTAAATGTAAAAAACAGCACGTTTATGGTTTAACAATGCTAATTAGGACATATTCGACTTTGTTCAAACTATTTTAGAATATTGTATTTTAGTTTAAAAAAGTATACATTTATTATTATTAAAAAGTTGGTAATTTTTTTTATTAATATGCCAAAAAAATTGTTTCCAGCGGTTGTGAATGTAGATATGTCCTTACTGCATTGAAAATTTTATCATTAAGCTTATCATATATGAATTTTTCATACTCTGCAGACCAAAGTTTCCAGTTTTGATTAATCAGTGCATGCAAACTATCACCTGAAAAATAATTAGTTTTTAACTTGTTATTACGAGTATATTACACATTTTAATTTATTTTCAATAGATTTACATTTGGTTACTAGTAATGCTTTTTGTTAAGCAATTATTTTAACTTTTTTTTTAAATCAATTAAAGCTTTTTTAATTAACTTAAATTATTATTTTTTCAAGTTACTACTAAAAATAAATATACTTTTATAATTCTAGATTCTCTCTCGAATAGTAAAAATATATTACCTATATATAGTATTACTTGATTTTTAAAATAACAATTATTTTTTATTTAATATTTACGTTTCTAAATAACTTACTTGTTAATTTATTTCCATTATATAAGTTTGTTAGAAGAATACTACCAGCTCTTTTTACGATAAACGAATATTGGTATCCCTTAAGGTCTATAATATCTCTTCCATACCCATCCTTTATGATTTCGAAGGGCATAACCATATCCATTTCTACGTTAGCTACAAGAAATCTTATATTATACTAATAATACTTATTATATATTATACTAATAAACTACTAAGTTTAGTTTGAAATTTGTAAACATATACATAATATGAATGTATGTACGTTTTTGTCTTTTGTCACCGATTGAGATGAAACTTTCGTAAGTTGTTGTTTATACTGCAGAAAAGGTTTATACCATAATATTTTTTATGTTATTCTGTGCAAAACCAGGGGTTGCTAGTACGTTAAAAAAAGATAATTTGGTATATTTTAATCCCTTTCCTTGTTAATCCTTTTTGTTGGAAGTATTTCATTTTATCAAGTAGATGTTATGATATAATATTAATCTCCGAACTCCTCTCAATTTTAAGCGATTTTATAAAACAATTATTAGTGACTCTAAGTAACTGTTGGTTATAAATTCTTTGTCATTTTCCGGTCATTAAAAAAATATCTCTGTACAACATCTCGCAGGTATTTTACTCTATTGACGTACAAAAGTATAACAAACAAACAGTCAAAGAAACATTCGTGTACTTCCGCATTTCATATCATATTTAAGTTTCATTAAAATATAATATAAATCTTACTATTTGTCTTTGAAAAATCACCGTTTCCAAACACAGGTAACGAAAATATACATCCTGCGGCATTATATTGACTTTTTAGTGTGTAGTCTATTAATAGAGTTAATCGCAACAGTCGAGAGTTCTTGTCAATGCTGAAAACCAAAAAAATAGGTACGTAAACTATTAATGACACTAATATTATCAGAGTATTTATGAGTAAATGAATGTGTTTGTTACTTCGTCTTGCTGTAAAGACTCAATAGGTTTCAGTAAAGTTATTATATTTACATATCTATATAGCTCCGGAATTAACACAAAGATTAAGAATAGTATTAGTAATAGTGGAATTTTTATCATTATTTTGTTAGTTTTTAGTTAGTTTTTTTAGTTAGTTTTTCAGTGGCTAGCATATAAAACATAACTAGGCTATATAAAAAAGGTCCTGTGTTCGATTACTGTGGGCAAGTGAAGGTATAGTTATCAGGTTTTTGTGACAAAGATATTCTCTGTAACAGGCAACAGCACCAGCGCATTTGAAAGTTTCTAAGCTTTAGAAAGGTCATGCACTTCTAGGACACGGCTGCATAGGGACGTAGAATTCGAAATTTGAAATGGCCTTACCATTACACTAGAACATTGTAAATACACATTATAAACTATTATAATATATGTATAGGATATATTATTGGATGTCCATATCCATACTAATATTATAAACATGAAAGTGTGTTTGTTCGTTTATCCTTCTTTCATTAATCATTGACCGATTAACGATTTTTTTGTGTGGGAATAGTTGGAGCGCTGGAGAGAGACATAGGCTACTTTTTACCACGGGAGATTATCTAATTTCCACGGGAAAACACGTTATAATAAATATATAAAATACAATCCAAAAAACTTGAAACTTGGTATTAATGCTATTGAATAAAATTAAATAAATACGTGTTTTATTATTTTTCGACTTTTTTCGTATAAGAGGGTAAAATAGGGGATGAAAGTTTGTATTGAACTACCGTTTTAGAGATTTTTATGTAGTTTTAAAGCCTTAGCCTTTTTTTTAGTTTAGCGAGTGGAGCCTTGGGTTCTGCTAGTAATATATAAATACTAACAAAATTTTTAGCATTGCAATATTTCAGGGGTCCTGACGCTCAAATATTTACGAGTATCTTGCAAGGCTATCGCGTAACTACGTATGTATGTAAGTGATAATAATCTCTGCGTCATCATAAATCAACAATAAGGGGTCAAAACGATTCTTTAGTTCTTACAATATTACTATACGTACCTATAGATTGTGTAATCATACATACAATAAAATTGTAACTAAGCCAAATCTGTACATTCAATATTTTTTGGAAAATCTTATTGAAATAGACATTATTATCGATACAGAGGCCGAATCTAAAGTTTTTAGAATTTTTGTCTGTCTGTCTGTTACCGCATCACAGAAAAACCACTAGAGGGATTTTGATGAAATTTGGTATGGTGATAGCTGGTTATCCGGGTCAACATATAGGAAACTTTTTAACGCGGGAAAATATCTCATTTCTGAGAAAAATATAAAAACTGCATTGTAAGATTATACTAATATGTAAAACCTAAGAATTTGCTTTTTGGTCATCTGAACGCGGGCGGAGCCGCGGGCAATGCTAATGTAATAAATTGTTGGGTTTGATGTAATTTAAAGTTTATTTTCATCTTTTTAGTGCTTTTAAATAAAAGCTTGTTTTTAAAAATGTTTTATAATTATTTTAGTAAAATAATTTTGTATTCCTCTTAGAACACAATCATATTAACATAATGGTAATTTTATTGCATTGACTGACGTCATAAAGGTAGGTAGCTCGTACTCCTTATATAAAAATAAAGAAACTTAAAAAGGAAAATAATGCATAACTTACTTGAAACTCTTAATAATCGTATTTTTAAGTCCTATGATTTGTATATTGTGCATATCAAGTTTTAGACCACCATGGTTGATCTGAATAAAGTCGATATATAAGGGATCTAGGCTCCCTATACCTACCTCATAAATGCTAGAGGCAAACCTTGGTTTAAAGGCTGTTGCATAGGATGTAGGATATAATTTAAACGGATCTGAAAAAATATTAAATTATATACATAATTATTATATTATATTCATATTTCATACGCCTCGGTTCTATATAACTAAGTCGGTGGTCTAGCGGTTATTCAGAGGTCCTGAGTTTGAATCCCGGGTCAGGCCAAGTGTAATTACTGAGTCTTTTGTTAAGATATTCTCAGAAACAGTCCCGGAGTTGGGAAGTTGACAGTGTTTCCCGTGCCTCGGAGAGCACGTAAAGCTGTCGGTCTTGCGCCTTAACTCTTACTGGTCATGTCGAAATATCGTCCCATTGGACTTTGAAAGTATAACTAATAGATAGTGAACTTGTGTCTGCGTATACACTTGTGCACATATAATATCTCCTGCGCATCTGGGTAGTTTCAGTGAGATTGACAGCCGTGGCCGAAATCGGTCAGCAGGACATTACTATTATTATAATTCCTATCAGATTCGAAATTTTGCAGCCTTCGAAAAAGGTTTATTAGATTTATTGGCCTACATAAATGTATTTATATTTTTGTATATGATTATTCGTAAATATAATTCCACGTAACATATTTTTATGTATAAATACAAAAATAAAGTACATCGATGTACGAATACTACAAAATGCTAAAATATAAATTTGAGTAATTTACATTTACTGGAAACCAAAACAGTTTTTAAATTTTTATCTGTGTCACTCCTCACTTGAGAATGGCTCAGCAAATTTAATTAAGCTCTTTTTGTTGTACAAAGCCTTTTTTAGTATAAATTAAAAACCCAAATAGATATTATATACATGATATATTGAATGATATGTATATATATATATAATTCAATATATCATTATATATAATATTATTTGAGAAAATTATGCGAATTACAGCGATTTGAACTCTGGAATTTGTTACTTACATGAAGGTGTTGTTATTAAATAAAGCGACACAATCCAATTAAAAAAAAATATAGAAAGTTTCATAGTAATATTCTTAAAACTTTGAAGACGAATACACTGAGCTACTGCCTGATCGTCTTTATTGGTTAAGTATTGCTGTTTTATATTATAAATCTAGACCTATTTATTGTGTAGAAAATCATAGGACATTGTCAATAACAAAATGATTGATTAAGCTTATTTATAATGTAAAGAATTCCGTATAATTTAAAGAAATATTTTTTATATTAATTTTTTTTTTTATAATTTTGTAATTATTGTGTTAAGTAATAAGTTGCAACGATTACTTTATATCTAAAAAAGTACATTGACATAAAATCATTGTATGTATTTGTCCGGTTTCACGTACATTTTTAGTTTAGCTTACACGTGGTACGAACACACGTGGCCAGTTAGAGTCGTCAAAATTACACTGTAACTCCAGTAATTAAAGTACTTCAAACTTATAAGTATATTAACTTGTGCACTCCAAAGAACTAATAACAACTATATTGTACTGTTCTAACTGGGACGGCATAGTATTAGTAATTTTTCCAACCAGGGGGGTGAAATTTTCTTCAAATATTAAATAAAATATACAACCATTGAGGTATAATCTACTAATTACAATAAGAATCACGAAAAATGAGGTAAAGTTAGCGAAGATAATCGCTTAAAACGCAAAATTGAGCATACTTCGTAATAGAATGGCTTCCTACTTCCTCTCTTTTTGAAGTTGGTCGAAAATGCTTAATTAAGTACTAGATGTAAATTGTAATTTCTTTTACATAATGAATAAAGGAAAAATAGTTTCATTGGTTAAAATTTGCTTTTGTAGATACCAGAACGATATTTTTTTTAAATTTTTTTGAAAAAATCAACCTTTTGTAGTTTTTCTGTAAATACCTACATTTGTAGGATATTTTTTTTTTCTTGTTTCATGCTGAATTAACTCAAGATTAGATTGCAAGAGAACCTGTCAGTAATAAAATTATTTGGATATGCTCCTTATCAACCCATTGTATAAACCATTATCAAATTTTCGTAGAAAGAAAAGTTGCGCGTCTCGTCAAAACCTACACGCTTACGAAGTTTCAGCTGAAAAAGACTTTAAAATTTACTTATCGACGTATAACGACAATGAAAACTTACGTGACAGACAAAAGCAATTTTTTTTCGGCAAAAATGAAAATTTGAAATTTTTCGATATACAAAAAAAATCGAAATAAATGCATTTAAACAAAAACAAAAAAAAATTTTACCTGATGTAATCACTAATCAGACTACTATTATGCTATATGTAACAGTTCGTATGTATGTTTATGTTTGTTACTCTTTCATGCCTAAATAGCTAAATGGATTTGGGAAAAAAATATAATTGTACATATAGACTATGATCTGGAGAAACACGGGCTACTGTTAGGCACCAAGAGATGCAATTATAGGACGACGCGAAGATAAGTCGCAATTGTACTACTTATAAGTAATTAAAAACTTTTATATTTAAAATAAGCGCCAATGCAAAGTTTTGCTTGCAAAATTATATTATTATACTTAATACACTTTTACTTAACTCGCTTATATACATCTTCTTCTTCTCCCTGCCCATTTCCCAATCACTTGGGGCCGGCGCAGTACATCTTCTGTCCTACTGATAAGATTTGGCAAAACTTTTACGACCTGCCGCCTGTCTGACGTCAACCCTCCTTGGGAATTCTATTGTTGTCGCTAATATACATATTAATCTATATATTGTCATACAAACATACAAGAAGATACAAAGTACCTACTAAGTATAACAATAATTACTAGAAAAACAAAATTTGTATAGATTTATTACCGACGAAAAATAACTATCTTTCGGACAGATTTAAGCTTTTTCCTAGGCATATTAGGCTTCACCTCTTGAGTAAATATTCTATGCTCAAATATAAGCATTATCAGTCAAAAATCAATATTTAATATTTATATGTATTAATCTACCCAACCTAAAACCTATACAATCCAAAACGTTAGTTCCTATGATACCTACTAACAAATTACCAGTTAATGGAAAACTAACAACCCCTTAAGCGTATATTTAGAATCCTACATTATGATTTACCCTGTTTATCTCATTATATTATTAATATTCTCACAAAATAGTGTCACAGGAATGATTATCCATAACTTATAAATTTAACTTTATTATATAATCATTAGACTAGGGTCAAAGGCGTGACACGTTTTGAATAATATATCATTGACTACCGTCATATACCATTCGCTTGGATAATTTGTTCAAACATTAATCATCTTAAGTCTCGAAAGGCCATGGTTCTGTATTGTTCTCTTGTTTACAGCAGATTTTGAATAATCTCATGATTACCGTTAGATAAAACTATTAAGTCCAGTCGAATAAAGTAAAACAATAAGCAAATATCGGAATGAAAGATATTAAAACAAAAAATAGTATATCATATATACTTTGTTTTACATTTCGTATGTTAGCCCAGAAGTCTCGTATGATACATCACAAGTTATCAGAAGATGCGCTTCTAAGACCAATAGGTTTATATTATATAATATTTAGTTACTCGTTGTTAAGCAGTGTTAATTCAGTCATAGAAACCGCGATTATGAGCTGGGTGAATAAAAATATTTTAATTAAAATCAATGAAATATAATTAAAATAATATATAAAACCAAAAAACTATTTCGGTCTGATATTTTCTTTTTACTCTTATTTTAGTAAAAATTATGAAATAGATATTTTATTTAATTAAAATTTAAATATAATTGATATTTTTATGTATTGTCTTAAAAATATAAGAAGATTACGGATTAATTAAAATATTATTACAATTGACGTCAACAGTACAAAGCGCTTCTATTCTCTGCGTTCTGTCTCAAAAACGGTTGATTCATTATTGTTATTTTTTAAGATCAAAGTACAAAATTTTATTCTCTACAATTTTTGTAATGACTTCAAACCTCATTTCGGGCAAAGCAAAAATTGATGTGACATGCATTATACTCATATATCGCCGTCCCCGGAGAATAAAATGATTACTAATATTACCATAGTTTTAGTGTTATCCCTTATTTGAAGTTTACGGTGTCTAATACCCAAGTTTTTTCGTGAATATCCAGCCATTATTCAAAAAGTTATAGAATAATGCAATCATTTTCGTCACTCTTTCAAACACACAAGATTTCTTGATAAAATATATAATATGAAGTTAGTGAAACCGTAATATTCTCGAAAAACAAATCGGCGAAATAATTGTGATTTTGTTCTCGTAAAAATCCGCTTGGGCTCGGCGACTAACATGTTCTTAGTAAATAGTATTAATAATGACTGGGCAAAGAAATATCTACCATTCTTTTCGGTCATTAGAGCAAACTTACATTAGACAGTGATAACATATATATATATATATATATATATATATATATATATATATATATATATATCTTTATATATATAATTCTTCTGTGAGTGTGTATGTCACTGAACTTCTCTCAAACGACTGGACCGATTTTGATGAAATTTTTTGTGTGTGTTCAAGGGGATCTGGGAATGGTTTAGATTCACAATTTGAATAATAATTTTCATCAAAAAAATTATTAAAAAAAGTTTGAAATTTTCAAATTAAAGACGTGTAGACAGGACAACGTCTGTCGGGTCCGCTAGTATATATATATATATATATATATATATATATATATATATATATATATATATATATATATATGATATACATATTAACTACAATAGAATGCCAAGTGATATTGTTTTCCGTTAATTTAGTCTGTATTATTCGTAAAATACATATTATTGTAAAACAGTAATGCAATACTCACAATCTGTTAAAAGTAACGAGAATAAAATGCTAAGTATTATTAGTAAATAAAACCAACAACAAAATTTTAGTAACTTTTTAAATTCTAAATATCTTCAGTTCTAAATACCTTAGTATAAAATATATTAAAACATTATAAAAGTTAAAAAATTAGCTATCATTTAGCTTTTCTTTTATCTCTCTACATCTATTGCTTAGAAAGTTAAAGTCAAAAATAGATTTTTTATTTTTCCAGAAAAATCGTATTTTTTCAGTTATTATTTTATTCTCCGGGGGCGTCGATATAACGCCAGATTATATAAGACTTTTGAGACAACATATAAAATGCCAAAACAAAGGTGTAGAGTAGTATACAAGTTTATAGGTTACCTTGCTTTTATTTATTGAAACTTAGTGTCCCAAGCTTTAATTCTCGATCTATAGTTATAAACTCAAGCTATAATAAAGACTTTTTTTCAGTACATGACTTTGTCCTCTAAAGGACGCCATATTACGTACAAACTGTAACAGACATTAATTAAAAAAGATCTGATGTATAGGCAATACCTGAAAATCAGTGCACATTATTTAGCAAGAATGTTTGTCATGGTCCATTTCTTGGTCTAATGAAAAACAATAAAGAACCCATATTTGAATCGAGAAGTACACAGGACCCAATTCAAATTTCCGAGTATCTCAACATTGCCAATATTGATTAGAATTTTAAAATAAATGTACCAAATGCTCACGCACTTCAACGCACTGCTACACAAACAAGTTGGTTTTACAAAAGACCACTCTAAAGGATTCGAGATTTACCCTTTCTTGAACAAAATAAACATGAAAAAATACTGTTCGTTGATGGCACTTCTCTTATTTTAAGAAAAACGACGTCTACCATATGCATGTAATAGGACGATGGAAACAAAACTCTATTAAAGGTATACGTCGGTTTAGTTTTGTTTATGAATAATTTATTATTAAATAGTAAAAATTTTGCTATTTTTATGTAAAACTGTGTATTGTGTAGATTTACTGTTAAACAGTGTACTGTAAACATGGGAAAATCGAAGTCTATAGAGTCCACTAAATTTTAAGGCATTATTATAGATTCAAAACTGCTGTGGGTTTCTGACATCCGCTAGCTAATCTCTTCATACACAATTAACAGAATAAGATATAATTCACGACTAAATACTTAATATACCTACGCATACTAATAGTATAATAATATTATAATGGACTAAACGGTGGATGGATGGATCTCACAGTATTATGGATTTTTTGATACTTGGATTTTTATCCTCTAGTAAAAAGCTATTCTTGAAATTTATGCCTTGGCCCTAAAGTATAATAAGTATTAAAGAGATAAAGTATATATATGTATAGTGATGATCATACCTTAAACGAATTTAAGGTAAAAATGTTTGAAAGAAAGATCTATAGTTCCTCTGAGATTCTTTAGCCAGTCTTATCTATTTGCATCTTCTCTAGAACAGCTAGATCGATTACAATTTATAGTTGACTAGCGGCTCACCCTCGCTTCGCTCGGGTTCACCTCTAGAAAAGCACAAACAGATCTATACAACGGGAACCGTTAATTTTTCTGGGATGAAAAGTAAGCTGTTATTTGACCGGCAATATAAGGTATCAGCATGCCAAATTATATTATTGTAAAGTTTCATTAACATCCAATCAGTAGTTTTTGTGTATTAAGCTGTATAAGTTGTTATAGTTTTTTAACTATCCCACGGGAACTCTTTAATTTTTCGGGGTGAAAAGTATCTAAGGTGTTGCCCGGGGATATAAGGTACCATCATGCAAAATTTCATTTAAATCGGTTTAATAGATTCGGAGATTAGCCCGTACAAACAGGAAAACAGACAAACAGCTCGCTCGGGTTCGTCCATACCTACCAATATGTTGTATTATCTCTTTAACCATTTGTCTAAATTATATGCAGTAAAAGGGAAAAAGGGTCTTTTGTTTTAAACATTTTAGACGATAAATTTACTTATTTTGATAAGAATTCATAATTCTTGATAATATGACCAATAAACATGACCTACCGATTTAAATTATTTTTTTAGTATAAAAAACTACTTTTTGTGACTTAAATATAAAAGTTAGACATATGCTGTCGCTGACTTTTTTGTAGGCATTATTAAGCTCTACAACTTTAGAACATAATCATATATCTCTCATCGTTAAGGCAGCGTTCGTAAGAAACATTTTCGTTCGACCGTTTTTTCTCCGACTTACTTTGCAAATCCGACTACCACGAAAAAGTCTTTTCATTCTTCGGGTTAATATATAGCCTCTGACACTCTTAAAGAGCGTGGCTTTCTATTAGTAAAAGAATATTGAAAATCATTTCAGTAGATCCAGAGATTACCTCCTACAACGTCACAAACTCACAAACTTTACCTCTTTATAATATTAGTATAGACTAACTGCTATGAGCTTCTCCCGCGTAAATATTTCTCATTGGGATGCAGCCAAAGCAGAAACTAAATCACAATAAAGAATGAAGAAAATCAACTGATTCATGTTAAATGGTGTTTTTACTGTACAAATAACAAATAATCGCGTTAAAAAATACAGATATATATTATAATAAATATACAGATATATAATAAATAGCTCGAGATCCCCGTACCTAAAGCTATCGACGTTTTAAATAAGTGTAGGTACGAGAGAAGCCGTAGGCATTAGCAATCATAATAAGCCTGGGCAGAAATTTAGTAAAGCTAATAATTAAGACAAATAAGTTTATTCATGCTCAAGGACAATTAGTAATATTATTACACTTGATTTATCTCCAAACCCTCTAAAATGTTAACTGACATACGACAATCTAATCCAATTATTCACTACAAGTGATGGATATGGAGCTAGTAATGGGATTGTCTTCATCCAATTGTGATTATATTGGCTCTAACAGCGTAATAAATATTATATTTTATAACAGTGTCTCTACTATGAATCATTTTGTTGATTTCTTGGAGAATAATGCATAAAAGATTGCTATAAACAGTATTTGTAAAACTTAACATCATATTTATTTGGATTTACAAAGTAGACAATTATAAGAAAGTACCTATTTTATTTAAGTAGGTTTCCGGTATCGTAAGAAAGTATTTTGTTAGTTAAATCAGATTCCATTGTAACAATAAATATCAATAATAATGTACTACAGACCGAATTTTGGTCACAGTGGCTAATATCACTAATTGCAAGCAAACGAGGTAACCCATATTGTATAACATTCGGGACCAAGCTTAAAGGGTTGACGTGTGTTTTCATCTCATTAATTTGCTTTAAATAGTAAGAATTGTGAAAGTGAGTGATGATGTATAGGGTATTTTAATAGACAGCACGTGTTATTTCCATAAATTAAGATGATAATAGTAATAATATACTGTTGTAAAATAGTAATGTTAAAACCATTAACTAAATTGAACAAAAAATATTTTTAACCCTGTATTTTTTGTGTTTGCATCTATTTGTTTGTTTATTTATTTTTTTGTAGTGTACAATAAAATATATCTTGCTGTCAATATATTTTTTAATAAAATATTATATATGAGAATTACAATGTTTCTTAGACTAAAATGAAGCTTAATTAAATAACTTTATTTCACAAATCGTATTTTAATAATAGTCTCTCAAATCTATTAATGTGATATGATAATCTTTGTTCAAAATTAATTATGTAGACGTTGTCCGCATTTTTAAGATCAAATGCGACTACCATTACACATACCTACTTACTGTATGTATTTTATACTACTAAGTAGGTACTAGCGACTCACCTTTCGCTTAGTCCCCGTTCGTCCCTAAGTACGTTTGACGGAACGGTTAGTATGGAATAGATAGACAAAAAACAAACAATCAAACTCTGCCTCCTTATAATATATTGTGTAATATACTGCGATAGTTCATAGTACCATATTATGAAACTATATTATAATAAAAGAATTAAAGACTAAACAAGATTTAATAAAAATTTAGGTTTTATAATTTAAAATAAAAAAGATAGAACTGCTAGCTAGTCAAAAAAATAAAATGACGACAGGATCCTCAAATAATTCCAAAAAACTTTTTTTTTATAATACTTCATAATAAAATTTTACGACTATAATAATAATATATTATCCATATACTTAACTATATACGAAAGGATGGTGCTCCAAAATCCAAATAGATAGATAATGTACCTACATAATTGAAATGCAAAAAAAAAATTAATCAATTTGTGAAAGAAGCTCTAACAACGCCTGTACATCCGGAAATAGTATGACAATTCCTAAAAGTTTCTATATTCTACCCATTTTTTTTTCTCTTTCTTATTTTATTATGTTTTAAATATTTTCTAAAAGTGAGGTTATTTCTCTAGCAAATGGGAATGTTACTATCTAATTGCCGGATAAAGATTATTTAATAATATTGTGTGTTCAGCCCTTTTTAACGTCCCACTGCTGGGCACGGGCCTCCCTTCAGTACGAGGATCAGGCCATAGTCCACCGACAACCACGGTGGTCAAGTGCAGATTGGCGGTCTTCACATGTCTTTTGGAAACGTGCTAGGTTCTCTCAGACATGCAGGTTTCCTCATGATGTTTACCGTCACCGTTAAAACAAGTGGCAATCATGTTGGAAATGATTCGCACATGAAAATATCAGAGGTGCGAGACCCAAGATTTGAACCCGCTTCACTCGGTTTCCCAAGTGAGCGCGTTACCACTGGGCTGCCACGCTCCCACGCTACCACGCGCATAATCGCCAAGTGTAAAAGGTAGTCTACGTCAATCTCTAGCCCTCCAACTATCTCCACAAAAAAACAAATAAATATATTTCTTATTTTTCATTTTAAAGCTAAATCCCACTTTCTGTGTATTTCACATTAAAAATTACATATATAGGGGATGAATTTCGAAAAATTCTTATCATATAAGGAATATATCCTCCAAATTTCATGTTTCTAGGACTAGTGGTTTAGGCGGAGTGTTGAACCATCAGTCAATTAGGACCACCACAGGATTCGCCTCTCCTTCTCGATTCTTCCATTAGCTGGTCTAACTTCCAGGTACAATACATTGCACAGGTATCTTACTTATGAACACAATAGAAGCAAAAAACCAGGTATAAAAGAGATATCACAATAAGTTACTTAACCTCAGGCATTCAGCCTGACTGACGCTAAGTAATTTAATGTGATACAATTACATATTGTGATAAATAGGCAATACGTGTGGCGCCCTCCTTTCGAGAAATATTCCCCATTACCAAAAAGTCTAGTATTGTTTAAGTATCCAAATTATTACAGTTTGACATTATGTGAATTTGACACTACTGTCAAGTGTCAAATTGACAATTGTATTTGTCTTTGGACTTTGACAAAACACGTGTGTTTTAAATGAGCCAGAGCGTTGAATTTAAAGAGTAATTAAAAATGGGTGTAATACAAAGGATAAAGTAATTATTTTAGTTTAGTTGTGGTAATTTCTTTAATAATTATTATGTATAAACTATTCTTAATTTCTCAATTACAGGAAACCTACAACACGTAAGGGTAAAAAAGTGTTGCTCTCTAGGGAACCGAAGCCAATTGAAGGTGCTAAACAATGCATATTTTTACAAGCTCGTAATCCTTCTGAAAGAGCACGAAAGGTGCTAAAAGATATTTATGACTTAAAGAAACCTGATGCAGCTTTTCTCAGCCGAAAAAATGATTTTGTACCTTTTGAAGATGCGACACTAATTGAAAAGTAAGTTTATTAGAAAGATGGTTATTTTGTATTGGAAATAGTCAAAAAATTATTTAAACTTCATATAAGGTTTGTTTAATGAAGAATTTAATATGACTAAGGCTAATGTTATGGACAAAAAGTGAATGTGCTCATTATTATCCTTTTTTTTCAAAAAACATTATTGTAAGTTATTGATATTATTCTTACAATTTTTTCAGGTTATGCTACAAAAAAGAAACGTCTCTGTTTGGTGTTAGTTCACATAGCAAAAAACGACCACATAATGTAATTTTGGGTCGAACTTTCAATTATACTATATTGGATATGATTGAGCTTGGTGCAGATAATTTTAAGGCTATGTCAGAGTTCCATAACATGAAAGTTCTAGCGGGTATTAAGCCCTGTCTACTTTTCAATGGACCAACATGGGATTTAAGTCAAGATATGAAAAGGCTTAAGTCTCTTTTCATTGACTTCTTCTATAGAGAAAAAGTAAGCACCAAATATTTCACTACAAAATGTTGTTTGTTTAATACTATAATATTCATATATATACACTTACTACAATGACAAAATATTGATTTCAATATGCTAGTTATGTATTATTAGAGACATAACTTTGCCTCGCCCAGGTGCCGTCCGTGGGTGGCTAATGTGTTACTCTAGGTCATAGTGTGTCTACATAGATACTTTTCATCCAAATCCATCCAACTATTTCAAAGTGAAGAAATAACATACATACATAAACATTTGCATTATTATAATAGTCCGACATCCATATTTATGTGCATTGAAAGGTTTTCTTACCTTTATAAGTTATCATATATGTTTTAACATACTTTTTATAATAGAATTTTAATAAATTAACAGAACTACTCATTTAATGTAAAGTTAATATGTATTTAATTTTTGTTTTTTGTGCTAATGGATAGAAACATTAATTATTAAACTTAATGTAAAAAATAGCTATTATTAATTTTCTACACTTACCTTTTCAACTTTTTTTCCCAGTTCCAAAATTTAGTAAGATTTAATGAGTATTTTTGTCTTTTCAGATTGAGACAATAAGATTACAAGGTTTAGAACATGTGCTTAGTTTTACAGCAACTGATGATGGTACAATTTATGTAAGATCTTATAGAATACAACTAAAGAAAAGTGGTCAAAGAACTCCCAGAATTGAACTTGAAGAAATAGGTAAATTCATAATGTTTCCTAGTCCATTGAGCATAACCATTTAGGTATTTCCATAATCAATTGTAGTCATTACAAAAATTTAGTAATATAATCTCATAGGGAAGTAAGACAAATAAGTTCACATAAATGTTAAAAGATGGCATCTTATATTATGGCATAATTGTTGATGTTAATGTGCAATTACTAAAAGAAAAATAATAGACATTAACTTACATTATCCTGGAAAAATGTACGGATCCCGTGGGATAGGTTTGTTTTTGTTTTCCCAGAGGTGAACCCGTACAAAGCGAGGGTGAGACGCTAGTACTAATATATGTAGATAAATCATACCTACGTACAGAGAAATTGGTCTGTATTAAATTATATTATTCTGTGAGCTATATTGCTGTGTGTTATAATAAGTAGACATTATCAATTCATTTTATAAAAATGTGTTAGTCTATATATACATATTTATTTGAAGTAAGTTTTCTATGCTGGTAGATGTGGATTCCATTTCTGAAAAATGATTTGCTCTTTGTTTTTTTTTTGTTCATTAATATATGTACTACACTATTCAAAGATTGTTTTTACATTATTTTTTATTATTAAAATAGAGAAATAGAATCAGAAATATTTGCATTTGCAGATTTTACCTAATTTCACAGAATTTTGCGTATTTTTGTTACATTTACTAAGCATTATTTTCTTAGCATCTCCAGGTAAATTTCTAAGAAATCTATTGTAAACTTTAACGCCGGCGTGTCCGCGGTCGTTGAGAGATTAGTTAATAAAATTTTACTTTGTAGTAGAAAGTAAAATTACAATTCAAAGTTTGTACCTGGTGAAATCTATCAGTTGTACCTAACAAATAAGTACTGCTTATACGATACCAGGGCAGTGGTAGCCCAGTGGCAACACCGCTCGCTTGGTAAACCGAGTGAAGCGGGTTCAAATTCCGGGTCTCGCACTTCTGATATTTTCTTGTGCGAATCATTTCTAATATGATTACCACTTGCCTTACGGTAAAGGAAGGCATCGTAAGAAAACCAGCATGTTTTAGAGAACCTACCAAGTTTTCGAAAGACATGCGAAGTCCGCCAACCCGCATTTAAAAACGGATGAATACAATAAGATACCTACTACAATCTACAATCTTAATAGGCTCAAAGCTATACAATTTTAGAATTTCCAAAGTGCAGTTAAACAGGTTTTATTAGATCTCTTTATTGTAAAATTAATTGTTACATTTCAAAAAAAATTCCAGTTGACCCTAAAATGTCTCTTGAGCCCAGTGACAGTGAAATCTTTTGCAATACAACAGATGACATAATATTACACTAGTACTGATTCACGATCCCTTGTACTATTTTGTTTGCTTAAATAGATAAGAGATGTCGCTGTTTCAGAAACTCGAATTAATTTATTATATAAATATGATACTGAACTGAAATACGATAAATATTGCAAATTTAACTAAACTTTCAATGACTGACAATTTTTAACTGTGGTATACAGTTCATAATAATAAATTATAGCGCCATGTTTGAATATGCACCACCAGCCATCAGCCACTTAATACAGATTTTTTAATAATCACAAAAATTACGGAAATTTGACTTACGAGGGATTTATTTCTTTTTTGGTTAACGTAGTTTTTAAAACCATAATAAACGTTTTTATTTGTATGTATTTTTATCTTTTATTAATTTAATGAATGAACTGTAATAACAAATGCATACATATAATGCCATCTATTGATAGATATTCATTTGAACTATTTTTTTGTTCCTGATGAGACGCTATGACAGTACTGGCAGTAAGTACAAAGTGGCACCAGACTGCAACCTATGTACTTATTAAATATAGGTACAATGTGTATTTTATTTAAAAACAACAGAAATTTTAAATTTTAACTACTTTTGTAAATGGACACAAGGTGCTTCGTCTACTATTGTCTGTTAGTACATTCATGTTTTAAAAATTATCATAAAAAACTTCTTCAACTCTTTAAATCGTCCAAATGTAACAATGTCGAAGATTAAGTTATATAATAAAATAGAATTCATTTCTTCAATAATTGTATTCAGTATATTTAGTTAAATGACAGGAATATTTCTGGTCCATATAAAGACGATAAAACAATGCTTCTGTCTATCAAACCAATATATAGATAGATAGATACTTTATTGTACACCACAAAGAAATATACAAAAGAAGATAAACACAATAGATGATGCACAAGAGGCTGCCTTATCACTATAAGCGATCTCTTCCAGGCAACTTTAGGACATAGGAGAAAATTATATGAAGTGGTAGTCTATCAGCTTCTTCTTTATCTTCTTATTACTTCTTTGGTTTCAGCATCTGGACCAACATTTTTAAGACTATTTAAATTGGAACTTATATTTCTTAGTTGCGTATACAGTATAACTTGGACCATTTCTGATCTATTGTTATTAATATATGTGAATAAATGAAACTTTGTTATGCGTTTAATTTCTAACTAACTAATATGTTTTTTCAGGACCGTCGATAGATTTCAAACTACGCAGAACTAAACTCGCCTCAGATGAACTATACAAAGAAGCTTGTAGGGTACCTAAAGAAGTCAAACCAACCACTAAAAAGAATATATCACGAGATGCATTTGGAAGCAAATTGGGTCGCATACACATGGGCAAGCAAGATATCAACAGATTACAGACAAGAAAGATGAAGGGTTTGAAGAAAACACCAGAAGAGAAAAAGCAGTTCCTTCAGAAAAGGAAAATGGCCAGAAAAGAAGCAAAAAAAGCAAATACTGCACAAGAATAATAAACTTTTTTATTATCTGTATATTTTTTTTATTACTATTTCTATCAATTCCAAATGCTTCGTACGTACATTAAAAGTACGTAATTTAATAAGACAAGTTTCTATTACAGTTTAATAAGATATTTTTATAATAATTATAATTTTACTAATAATTATAATTTTTACTTAGCAAATATTTAAACATGGAAATTATTTTCTCAATTGCTGTGATTATATTATGTTATTGATTATAATATATTAAATATACATATATCAAGTACAGAAGAAAGGAATTAATTATGTTTTGGCACCGACTTCGAAAATATCTGATTAAGTATCTATTCTAAATAAAAACTAAAATGTAAAAAAATAACTGAACAGGGGGTTCAGTTATTTTTTTACATTTTAGTGCCTGGAAGCCGTTTTTATTTTTCGATTTTTAGTGTAGACGTAATAAGCGGCTAAGTTGTATAAAGAAAGTTTTTAATAACATATTTGACTAAGCATTTTGTTTAAAAAAATAATTTAATTGTTGATTTTTTTAAAAACCGCTCGACCGACTTCAATAAAGGGTCTAGCCGTACTTCTATAGCGAAACTGTCCCCGATAGGGGCCTATATCGTAACTTATGTTATATTGTAGAGGACACTAACAGTAATTGATCCAGTAGATATTAGCTCTATATCTTAGTTAATTGAGGAGCTATTTGAAAACTGTCCGGAAGCGACTTTTTTTCAAAGCGATATATCTTAGTTAATATCATAGCTAGCAAATGTGTTATAAATACGCTTTAAAGTTTATTATATAGGTGTTTCCTTTGTGCCAAGTCTAAAAAAAGTATTAAAAAAATGCAAATTGCAAATAAAAATTTTACCAATCGATTTCTATCAGATTTAATTAAATTACCACTTTGAAAAAAAATACAAATGTAAGTGAACAGGCACCTACTTTACGACCACTGTGTTGACACTTTCATCTTACGTAACATTTTTAGTTTTTCAGTTATGGGCACACCTCCAGGTAAATTTCTAAGAAATTAATTAAATTTCTAAGAAATCTTATGTTAGCTGTAACACCGGCGTGTCCGCGGTCGTCGAGGGATTAAAAAGAAATTGAATAAATAGCTAAGCCCAAATGTGATATAATTTTTGCTGTGTAAAAAAAAGGGAGAATAATTCATGAAAATTGAATTAACCACAATTAATTTTCTTATTGAATTACATATTTTGTGTATACAAGAATAAATTATTGTCTATCTGAAATAAAAAATTAAAAATATTCCATCCATATTCTTTAAATAAAACTCGGTCGGTGGTTGTATTTTTAAACGCGAGCATTAATTCTGTACACTGATAACAAAACTGTATCGTCTTTTGGTACACTAAGGCTAAGGTAATATTTTTATGTTTCTTACTAAATAAATCTTGTTAAGATTTGCCAATTAGGTAATATTTTTAGGTAACAAAATTCTAACTCAGTCGAATCTGTATAATTTTTTTTAATTATTATTTTACATTATCGATACAGAGGCCAAATCTACAGTTTTTAGAATTTTTTGTCTGTCTGTCTGTTACCGCATCACAGAAAACCCACTGGCGGGATTTGGATGAAAAGTATGGTGATAGTTGGTTATCCGGGTCAACATATAGGATACTTTTGACCGCGGAAAAATATCTTATTTCTGAGCAAAAATACAGAAACTATTGTAAGTAAGAGTATACTAATATGTAAAACCTAAGAATTTGGTTTTTGGTCCTCTGAAGGAGGGCGGAGCCGCGGGCAATTCTAGTATTATATATAATTTGTTTGTATCGAATAGGCTCCGAAACTACTGAACCGATTTAGATGAAATTTGGTAAGAAGGTAGTTTGAGACCCTGGGGAGGACATAGGATTATTTTTATCACGGAAATCACCCCATAAGGGGGTATAAAAGTTTGTATGGGGAAGTAACGTAAGGAACCTAGGGACGAACCCGAGCGAAGCAAGGGTGAGTTGCTAGTTAGTAATATATCAGTGAATTTGGTTGACCGAAATAATTTTCAAATTAAAATATTTGCTATTAAGTATTTAGTAAATAACGCTAATGTTTGCAAACCTTGAAATATTATACCTATATGTATAGGGCAAGTGCTAGTCCAACTCGCACATAAACGGTTCCGTTTAGCCAAAACTGTTTTATTTTTACTTAGGTATATTGTTAACACTAAAATAAAATACGAATAATTAAATTAATTTTTTCAGTTTTCTATAATAAGTGAAAAAAATATATGAAACACAAACCCTTTTGATGAAATGAATTTTGGTATGGTATTGCCTAGGTAAAGTGCATTTTCAAAACTGCATTTAATCAAAGTATCAAAATCTTTTATAGTATACCGGAAATGGTGTGGCCAACGCCCGATGGTGGCGCCCCCATTATTTTCTACTCTTTCTTGACAGACTATATATAAGGAGCCATTTCAGTTGTACAACAAACAAAAGAAGAAAAAAATCTAATCAAAATATTTAAATTCAGTTTCTTTATAAATAAATTTAAGCTATCAGAAAAAATGTCTATATCACATTGCTGAAATATAAAATTATATAGGGTAAGGTTGCTTAAGTCGTAACCCCTAAGGAAATAATACTGTTATATTCAGCACGATTGAAATAAAACAAAATCTTCTGCATGTATTGAATATTTATTTTGTTGCATTTTAATCAACAATAATAAAAACTGAAAAATCTTTTATCAAAATAGATATTTTAACGTCTTAAGGTATATATTTACCTTCGGTACGATTAAGGCACATACTTGCCTAATTCGTACCATCTATGGCCTAAGTCGTACTTAGAAAATATACTTTAATTAACACATAATAAACTACACATAAATATACTTAATAACCAGAGATCACAAAGAACAATTCAGTCTGAGACAACTTAAAACATTTTTTTGGTTATTATTTAGAAAGTTAAATTTGTATAAATATCAAAGTATAAGTGTTATATTTATATAAATTTGGTATGGGTGCCATCTAGTAAAAATAATATTTGATTTGAGCTTTTTTCTAATCTTGTGCATTTAATAAAATATTGAAGTCATTGAACAAAAAGTTCTGATGTTATCCATCCATTTTTCGATCAAATGCAATCTTCAAATAATATATTATATAAAATCTATATATAGCAAAAATATATTATATGAAAAATTTGGAGGACCTCTTTTTTTAAGGCATCATTCAGTCTGCTACTCTTAAATATCAACATGGGTGGTATAAATTCGCCTGCTGAATTCATCACACATATGCCTGCTGTGGTCAGACCCCTTTCTCCACTTGTAATTGCACCTACTTGGTGTTTTCCTTTTTGAGCAATACCTTTGGAAGGTTTGTGAGCGGTGGATAATGCAGTTTCGTCCACATTGTATATTTGGTGTGCAGCAAACTTGTATTTATCCAGTATTTTTTCGTACTTATCAAAAACTCATTAACACGCTCTTTATTAAATCCTTTAGTTCTGACCATTGAGGTTCTGGAACACGCAACGACAAAGTAGGATGGTCTTTCATAAACCTGTAATACCACTTTTTACCTGTAATTTTCTTCTCCGTGTTAAAACGATGACGTAGTTGAAATTTTTCAGCAGGTTGGAAGGGAAGTTTCCTAAATTCAGTGGCCGTTAATCCGAAGAAACAAGACTCTCAATTCATCAAATGTCTTTTCCATGTCTGGTGACATATCATTAGGTCTTTCAAATTTTGTTCTTTTATTCAAACCTTTCAAATATCGTCGCAGAGTAGGCTTCGGTATATTAAATCTTCTACAAGCTTCATTAAATCCAATTTCTCCGTCCCGATGTTTCTCTAAGGCTTCGTCCGTATCCTCTTGCTTCCAAGTATCGTACCTTATCTTCGCCATATTTAGGTATAACCTGATATATATGTAAATTATATATTAAAAAAAATTCTGAAGTCGTACCAGTACGAGTAAGGGATTTTGTACAGGTACGACTTAAGCGACGGTGTTTTTTAAATTTAAAAATAAAAGTAATGACATAACCTAAAAAAGTTCTAATGTTTGAGTATTCGAAAAGATTACCAGATAAGTACCACAAACACATGTTAACAAAAAAAAAGATAAGAATCTCATTCCTGCTATAAAAAGTTTACAAATGAGTCAATAATTTTAATGAAAACTGTGCAAAAGCTTACTTTTTCAATATTTTTACTTCACGAAGCCGGCTGGTCGTCCACTTGCTTATGATCGGTCGCTCGACTAAGAAGTTCAGATTAGCGACACTATATGGCGCAATTTATAATTATCGGACAAGATATTACCGGGGTACGACTTAGGCCGTGGTACGACTTGAGCAACCTTACCCTAATTTAAACCTTCGTAAGAGTGGTGAATTAAAACCGTATTATCTATATTTTGCGTTGTGGGATATGTAGTGGCTTAAAGTTAATAGCTCTTGCTGCAGATCTTAGTGTTTGTATATTTACTAGCGATAGTAGTGACGGACATTGTATATAATTATTTACTAATTTAAAAACAAACATGAGTCGCAAAAAGTCGCATCTCTGGCGTAAAGTTTTCAAGTTAAATTGTTCAAGTTTTTTTTCGTATCTAGTAGGTACTATCTATAAAATTGTGGCGACTGGTATAAACAAGTCTTTTTAAAAACTTTTTTTGTATCTTTTCTATTCGTTGAATATTATTCTGATAATCAGGGTACCAAATCAGACTACAGTAATCAATATTGCTGCAGACAAGGCAAAAATACAAAATTTTGAAATATAGACAAACTAAAAACTTTGTATTTGATCCGAAAATTGCAATATTACTAAATTAAAAATGATATTAAAAGAGAGACCTTTGTGGCATTGCCATTCACCGCCATTATTTAATGTGCCTACTTACATATTTTTTTTAAATAAGTAAAATAGTTATATAAATAAGTTTGGTTTTTGCTTTTACTAGCTATCTATTTATTAGTATAATAACTATTACAATAAGTTCAGTAGTTTGAGAGTGT